GTTGCTGGGAATTGAACTCAGGACCTCAGGAAGAGCAGCCAGTGCTCTTAACCGCTGAGCCATCTCTCCAGCCCCGGCATTGTATTTTTGTAAGCTTATTTTAGGTTGTTTTGAGCATATAAAAAATCAACTGGCTAAGTGTAAATATGGAGAAAAATAAAAATGCCCCGGGCGAAGGGAAAAGCTTCAGTCCTTAGAGGCTGAATCCCCCTGCAGTTGTGAAAGGCTAGATTTATTCTTAAAGTGCCTCTGAGTCTTCATTCAATGGACCCACGTGAACCCACATGCCATGACATGTAACAAACCCATAGCCAAGATTACACTGAAGAGGAAAAATCAGAACAGAATACATGTGTCCACTCCTTTCACTCTTATTCAATATAGTACTTGAAATGTTATCTAGAATATTTAGGTAAGAGAAAGGAATGAGGACAATTCTAATTGTCCCTATTCTCTACATATAAAAAATCCTGAAGACCACAGCAGAACATTTCTTGATTTGATGGACAATTTCACTGAAATAAAACCATTCAAAAATCAACAGCCAAATCAGCAGTTTCCTATGTACCAATAACAAGCTTTCTGAGGAAGAAATGGGGAGGGGAGTGGAGGCAGCAGGTGGCAGGCATGGAGGTAGGAGCTGAGGGCTTATATATTGAGCTGAAAACATATTGAACAGATTATAGAAGAGAATCAAAAACCTGCAAACACACAAGCATACAAATACCACACACCACACACACATATATACCACATATATATACATATATATATACAATATATACCACATATACCACACACATACCATATATAGAGTATATATGTATATATATAGCACACATACTACGTATATACACAACGCACACTATAAACCACACACGCAGAACTCATCACACATACCACATACATCATGCACGCACACGCACACACACACACACACATGCCATATACCTCACACACTCCACACACACACCACACATTACACATATAGCACACCACCTCATTCACATACAACACACATTATATACAACACATACAAAATACACACATACACACAAACACACACACAGAGTGAAAGAGAGAGAGAGAGAGTACACAGTTTCTTTAAGTAGCACAGTAACTTTAACAATGTTGATTCTTCCCATTCATGAACAAAAAGATTGTTCAAAAATTCAGTAGCACTCCAGAGGCAGGGAGCTGGGGTTCACTTCTGGTTCTTTGGCATAGTACGGTAACCATTGATTAAAACAACCCTTGGGGGCTGGAGAGATGGCTCAGAGGTTAAGAGCACTGACTGCTCTTCCAGAGGTCCTGAGTTCAATTCCCAGCAACCACATGGAGGCTCACAACCATCTATAACGAGATCTGGTGCCCTCTTCTGGCCTGCAGTCATACATGCTGTATACATAATAAATAAAAAAATAAAAATAAAAAAACAACCCTTGATAGGTTTCAAAATTACTAGAAGAGGATAGAATCCCTAGTGTAGAAAAATGATTAATGGCTGAAGATAGTGAATGCTTATTACCACGTCTGATCATTATACATTGTCAGCATTGATGTAAATTACCACAATGTAGCCCATCAAGATGCACACTTTTTTTTTTTAATTTAAATGAAGAAATAAAAATATTTACGAGCCGGGCGTGGTGGCGCACGCCTTTAATCCCAGCACTCGGGAGGCAGAGCCAGGAGGATCTCTGTGAGTTCGAGGCCAGCCTGGGCTACCAAGTGAGCTCCAGGAAAGGCGCAAAGCTACACACAGAAACCCTGTCTCGAAAATATATATATATATATATTTACATGCAACAATTTACAGCTTTAGCTCCAGAGTCCAGGGCATGCTGCTTGTATGACTATTAATTGAACACTGGCTTTCTTTATTGAACACCAGCTCTTTAGTGAGGCAGATGGCACAGAACTGTGGTAGGAAGCGAGCAGATTGGGCCGAGGGAAAGGGAAGCGCAAACTCACCCTGGCAATAGTTAATTGAGAGGTGCTACCGTCTAGGGGTCTAGGTCTCGGCACTATGAAGTGGAGCTGGTCACTGGGATCGTGAGCCCCGTGCTCTCCTAGGAAACACTTGGCATCAGAATCTCACGGCCTTGTCCAGCAGGTGGTGTCTGCAAAGGACAAACTTCAGCCATTTATATAAAGCTCTCCACTGCCCGGCCTCCTGGCAGCTCTGAGTGGGATCTCTAAATTTTGGTGGGAACTAGAAACAATGCCAACAGCTTCCAGCGAGTATTTAAAAACATGTCCACTGGCTAAATGGGAAGACTACCAGAAATCAGGCCTTTTGGAGACTCCATGGACTGAGTCTCCATGTTTTACAAACAGCCTAACTTTTCTCTCTGCATGGCTCAGGACTGGGAAGAACCAAAGAACTCAAAGCAAAACTGTGTCTTGAGGCCAGGGGAGTATTTCTGGGATGGCTTTGTCCATTGCTTTCTGTCTCTTTTGTTACTTCGAAAAAATAAAAATTCTTTCACTTTTCATGTCCTCCTTTTTCATTCTCTCTCTCTCTCTCTCTCTCTCTCTCTCTCTCTCTCTCTCTCTCTGTCTGTCTCTCTCTCTCACACACACACACACACACACACACACACACACACACACACACATCTGTGTTTGGGCCTTTGGCTGCAGCACTGTCTCCTCTTACATAAGCTATACAGGTCTGTACTCTTGTCTAAGTTTGTTTAGCAGGGGTTGAAATTTCATCTTCTGCTTTGGACTTCATCCGCTGGAAAAGTCCGTTCTCACTAGACCCAGTGCAGCAGATGCTGCTGTGTGGGCAGAAATCAGGATATCCTTGTGTCTCTTTTCCCAACAAGCTTCCTCTCTGGGCACCCCGCCATTCTGAAACTAGTTCTTCGAAATCTTGTGTATTTGATGTGGTAGTGTGTGTGTGTGTGTGTGTGTGTGTGTGTGTGTGTGTGTGTGTGTGTGTATCAGTTTCCGGGGTAAAATGGTGGGCAGAAAAAATCTGCTTGAGAGAAAGAATTTAGAGTTGAGATTTGCCCACTATACCGGGGAATCCTCAGAAACACTTCAGCAAATGAAAGGAGCCTGGTGCTACCCCTGTACTTGCCTGGTGTACATTCTCCAGGCAGGTGGATGCAAGAATGATAGCGAGGACCCCGAAGGCTGCCTAGCTGGTCCAGTACTTCGTCTGCTGCTGGCTGCCCATCAGACCTTGGCACACTGAAATAGAGAGTGGGTGCCAGGCATACAAAAAGCACAGCACCAGTACTTCCTGTCCTTTGTGCCCTGTGAAGTTCTGGAAAGCTCACACAAACTCCTATGCTCCATAATTGCCCCATTTTCTATATTTCATGAGGGAAACACACCTCTTCAGATGACTTTGTTTTCAGAATATATGGAAATATATAAACATCCAAGTCGTTTTAACACATTTTCCTTTTTGTTTCTCTTTGTTCTTCCTTTCTTCCTTTTCCTCTGTGGTACCAGGGAGACAGTCAAACCCAGGGCCTCAGCCTCATGCATGCTATGCAAGTCTTCTAATGTCAGAACATGATCAGAAGAATGACCCATGGTGAACGATGCCTTAGGGAACTGTGAGGGAGGCTCCAGGGGGGGAAAGAGGCAGAGGGCCTTTTACCTTGAGTGCATTTTGTTTCCTGGATGGTTGTTCCTGGACATGATTTTGTGTCTCCTGTGACAAACATTTGCATTCAATGTACGAGACATGTTTACTCTTGTTGGGTATCAGAACATAGCCATAGCCAATCTGATCAGTGTGCACTGAATCTGGATATGGCCTTCTGCCTTGCTTTCATGCTTTCTCAGATATAATCGATAGTACATGCCAGGCAATTGTATTTAAATTGGTCTGTCCTGAGTAAGTTCTGTGAAAGGGCTGCTCTGTTAATAGTTAGTGTGTGCTTACTGACATTTATTTACATGATTTTCTAATCCTGGTTTTCTGAACGCAAACAACCTTCGTTGGATCATTGCTTTCTTTGTTACACTCATGTATGAAAGTCCACTAAAACTGAGGTAAAGTTGTCCGCAGCATTAGCGTCCTCCCCACTCTTTAAGGTCCTAAAATCCCAGATCTCACAGACACTCTATTACTGAGCTACATAGCCAGTCCACTTGCCTGCTGCTTAAAGAATTTGGGGAAACATATTTCCTTCTTCCTCCTCTACCAGGTTCAGTGTTTCAGGTCTTCTGTTGAGGTCCTCGGTTTGGCTGAAGTTAGGTTTTTCACTGAGTGAGAGAAAAGGGCCTGGTTTTTGTTCTTCTACACCTAGCCATCCAGTTCAGTCAGTGCCATTTGTTGATGATGCTGTTTTTCCTCGGTGTGTTTTGTTGAACTCTTGACTGTAGGAATGGGGGTCTACATGTGGGTCCTCTATTCCCCTAGTCAATGTGTTGTTTTTATTCAAATATCATGCAGTTTTTATTACTATAGTTCTGTAGTGAACTTAAAATCTGGGATGGTGATACCTCCAGAAGGTTCTTTGTTTGGTTGGTTTAGGGTTTTTGGTTGTTTGGTTGCTTTGTTTTGTTTTATATTGTTTGGGTTTTTGGTTTTGGTTTTGGTTTTTTTTTGGCTATCCTGGAATTGACTGGCACATGAAAGGACTTTCTGAACAGGACCCTAGCATTGCAAACTTTATGACCAATAATTTACAAATGATATAGAAACCTCCCACCCTAAAACCAGAGCAATAAAACCTGCCACCCATGAAACTCCAGAAAGCAGCCAGCTTTCTGGCAGAAAAAAATCAGTGTGTTTCTTTAATAGTCCTTAGACATTATACTTAACCATAGGGGATGTTATTTGGACAACCATTTCTCACTAATGATTCTCATCTTGATTTTAAAAAAAATCTACCCATATATAGGACATGACCTCCTCTCAGATCAACACTGCAAAGCCTACCTGCAACTGAAAATAACAAGCCAAGTCAACCATGTTGCCTAAGTAAAGGAGACTATCAGATTACCCTGTCATCAAATTCACAGGTTTGGGGAAATTATTCGGGAGACCTGAGTGATATTCTTGTGGTGTTACTAGACAATCATATTTAGAGGAGCAGAAGAAGAGAGAAAGGAAGAAAGGAGAAGAAAGGCAAGGCAAGACAAGGAAAGACAAGCAGACCACATGGGACTCTGTCTCTTTAAAATTGTCATATAAATGTTTACTTTAACTGGCTTCCCTTCCAAAGCTTCCAGGCACTCACCCTTTCTGTAGGAGTCCTATGTAACCAAGAGCTGATTAGCCAATTACACAGTTACCTTATCCTTCTATGGGGCTCTGGTACCAGAAAACCATCCATCTTTCTAATGCCAATGGCAAAGCCTGTCCTATCCCTCTAACAAGGGCAAAACTGCCCCAACTCTTTTCCTCTGCCTTGGCAGGAATTACAGGAGCACTAACAGTCTCATTCTTTGTTACTCAGGCTCCCTCATTCACGTAACACTCTCTAAGGGTGTGCATGCTCATTACACAGATCTCTGATGTTCTAGTTCTTTGCCATCTGCTAAGCTGTATTGCAGCCCCTGACACAAACCCTCCTCTACAGCACTCAGCTATTACCTTTCTATATCACTCTGTTGGCCACTTCAGAAGCAATTAGAGTGGTCTGTACCCTCAAACTTCCAAGAGCAGTAAAGATGACCTTCTTAGAAAAGTCAGATCCCTGATAGGCAGACACATGCAGGGAGGAGCCATGACTAGGTAATAAAGATGGCAAACTTCCATGACAGCTAGCTTCGTCCTTACCTGAGACAAAAGCCTAACATCCTAAAAAAAAAAAAAAAAAAAAAAAAAAAGGGTCGTGTGGGGTTTTCTCAGATAGCAAAGGCTGTGGGCCAAGCAGACATCTGTCCATGTTCAAACTGTGTCCAGCCAGTCCCTGGAAAAATTAGGATCACTCCAGGATGAATTTTAGCTTAGCAGAACAGTAAACAAGCCAGTTTCTGGTGAACTAACTGCCCATTGCTTCCCAAAAGGCTATTATTATTATTATTATTATTATTATTATTATTATTACTGTTATGCAATTTACACCCTAGCAAGTCAATTTCAGCATACCAAAACTCTTATCTGAAGTCCTTTGAAGGAACCAAATGCCTGAGCAATTCTCAGTCACAAGATTTCTTGGTTTTCCAAGTACCTGCATAACCAAGTATTGTAGAATATAATTATAAGGTGTGTTACTTCTGCTTATGTTGCATTTGTTTAACTCTGTGAAGCTGTGTTACTGTGCCTGTCTAAAACGCCTGATGGTTTAATAAATAACTGAACGGCCAATAGCAAGGCAGGAGAATGGATAGGTGGGGCTGGCAAGCAGAGAGAATATATAGAAGGAGAAATCTGGGAGAAGAGAAAGAAGTAGCTAAAAAAGAAAAAGAGCCAGAGAAGAAGGAGGACTTCAGGGGCCAGCCACCCAGCCACACAGCCAGCCACAGAGTAAGAGTAAGATTTGCAGTAGTAAGAGAATAGGAAAAGCCCAGGGGCAAAAGGTAGATGAGTTAATTTAAAGTTAAGAAAAGTTGGCTACCAGCAAGCCACACTAAGTTTAAACATTCATAAGTAAGAAAAAGCCTCTGTGTATTTATGTGGGAGCTGGGTGGTGGGCCCCAAAAAGGATAGAAAAAACAAACAACAACAATCAAGTTTTCCAAAACTTTGAATCCTTCAGGAAGAACTCAGATGAGCATCAAACACTTCAAACAAAAGGTATCAGTAACAAAAGGTAGCATCAAGAAAGGTAGTTCAAAGCCTAGGTGCTAACACTGCAGAATTCAAGCCAGATGCAATGCTCTGCAGGATCTCCTGCTACAAAACTGACCAACCCTAAAATGGGGACTAGGGGGAAAAGGCCCTTCTAGAAATAAACAAACAAAACCATCAGTCCTCTAGGAGAGACTGGATTTCTTTCCAGGCTCCCAAAGTCCCCCTCTACTTTATATGGGGTCTTCTTCTCTGTCCTCCTGATGGGTGCGTCTTCACTTGTCTCAAATTGACAAGCAAGCATTCCCTGCTCAGCTCCTAGTCTGGCTTACCTCAATCCCCAGCCCCTATCCCCCCTCTCCGCTTTTACATCACCAGGATGATACTGGGGGATATTAGAAATGGTGGGAAAGACTTTCCTAAACATGCTATACCTTTCAGCTTTCATAAAACTCATAAAGCATGTTCTTCCAAATGTCTTCTCAGAGAACCTTACCAGTTCTGAAAAGGCCTACTTCACAAGCCAGTCTTATGTGTTCTTAGACCCTACTTCCCCATGTCTGTTCCCATCATTTCTCTCCTACCTTACCAATAAAACCTCAGTATCACCACCTTTGCCCTCTTCCAGAATTATCCACCTCACGGGCCTTCACACTTTCAATCTTTGAGTCCACTTCTGCTTCTCAAAGTTGCTGGGGCCAGAACTTCCCTGTTCTAAGCAAATTACTTTTCTGCCTCTCCTTATTCAAGCCTAACTGCTGCTGCCTGACTGCTCCTAAAATTCCCCTCACCTCACCAGTGTTTCTTGACTACAGCACATTTTGTCTAGCTAATAGACCACCCAACTCACCCCTCTTCTGGACACTCAGGGCATTCTTTCAGCTCTCAGAACGGACACAACACCTGGGCGTTTATTCGCATCGAGTAACGGCCCTGTCTTGCCAGCTCTCTGAAACATTAGAGTAATTTCAAGTCACCTTGGCATCCTTCAGGACCACTCAATTCTTTGACAGCTGTGGTTCTCTGAAATCAAAGAAGACCAGGCCTCCTGGCTGTTGCCAGTGGGAGGCATTGTGCCCTTTCCAGGAACAATGCTGCTTCTACATCAGAAAATCCAAACTGGCTCAAGACAGGACCCAAAGATGTAGAGACCAGAAAATTCAGCAATAAGCCTCTTTCTCAGGGTGGACTTTCGTTTCCCTCCCATGCTGAATCCTCACCTCACACACCCCTTTCTTACTTCTTATCCTCACTCTTAAGTTTTTACTGTCTTTTAAACTGTTTACAGAAGTCCCTCCTGGATCAAATCACTACCATCACTTGGTCTACCACAAAGGATGAAGTCACTCCAGACACAAAAATTTCCAAACAACAGCCCCTCTGCAAGCAGGAAGTAACCAGACAGAATACAATGTGTGTGTGTGTGTGTGTGTGTGTGTGTGTGTGTGTGTGTGTGTGTGTGTGTGTGCACATATATACAGCTATATTTCTCAGATGTTGAGCCATGGGGTTTGGGGGAGCCAACCTCTCAGACAAATAAAAATCTCCTCTTACCATTTTGAGATCAAACTAAGTCTATTCCTTTCTTGTCCTCCGATTTACATCTTACAAACGGGATCTCACGAAATTAAAAATCTTCTGTACACCAAAGGACACCATCATTCAAGTGAGGAAGCCACCTACAGAATGGGAAAAATCTTTACCAGCTACACATCTGAAAGAGAGTTAATTTCTAGAATATACAATAAACTCAAAAACTAAACATCAAGAAAAAAAAAAGATCGATTAAAAATGGGGTATGCCTTCATCTGCCACAATGGTGGCATGTGTGAAGAGGAGAGATGCCCCCTACCCCCACCGCTCGCTGTCTGTGACAGTTGGGAGAGCTGGCCCTGAGTTCATAAGAGTGAAAGAGCTTTCCCCGCCCCTCACCAGCCGAAGGGTTCAGGAGAGCAGGCCCTGCAGCTCGCCTGGGCAGCACAGTAGAACCTACCCTGTTAGCAGGGGTGTGGGTGAGCCAGCCCTGAAGTTGTGAGTGTGTGGGAGAGCTGTCCCCACCACCCTTCTGTCATTCAGTGGCCTAAGTGGGAGGGGAAGGATATGTCTTCCCCCCCACCCCCCGCCGCCGCCCTTACCCCTCATCCCTCACTGCCTTCAACAGACAGCGGAGCTGACCCACCCCCTTATCAGCTGCAGCACTCAGGAAAGTGGGCCCTGCTCCTTGGCTGGGCAGCACGGTAGTGCTAGCCATGTTGGCGGAGGCGTGGGTGAGCTGGCCCTGAGGGTGTGAGAGTGGGATAGTTGGCCCCATACCCTTTGTCTGCCATGTGGTAGTGAGGACGATGGAAAGATGCCCTCCTCCCTCCTCCCTGCCACCTATGGTAGGGCAAGGGTGCTGACCCTCCCCCTTGCCAGCTGCAGGTGAAAAGAGCTGTCCCTGAGGTCATAAGAGCAGGAGAGCTGTCCCTGAGGTCATAAGAGCAGGAGAGCTGTCCCTGAGGTCATAAGAGTTCGTGAGCTGCCCCTTATCAGCTGCAGCACTCCAGAGAGTGGCCCCTGCACCTCTCCCGGGCAACAGCAGTAGAGCTGGCCCAGATGGTGTAGATGTGGGAGAGCTGACCCTGGGGGCATGAAAGCAGGAGAACAGGCTCCGCCCCTTGCTCATCACTGCAAGGGGTGAACCAGTCAGGACAAGGATGGAAAGCTCACCCTGGTGGTGAGGACAAGGGAGAGCTGGTGGGCTGACCAACCCTGCAGTTTACCCAGGCCCCAAACCGGGGTTATGAGATGGCCCACCACAACTTCCACCCCATCTGTGATCTGCGGGAGCACATGAAGGGACCAGTCCTGAAGTCCCAAAGCTTCAGGATCTCCAAGAAACAGGACAACAACAGAATATCCAAGAGGAGTCCCAGGGAGGGCCCAGTATCGATAGTGTAGCAGAAACCTCGAACCAGACCAATGACACTTTGCAATGAACTCTTGAAAGATAGATGGACAAAAGGGTTTACTGCGTGACTCACTGTGTCACACTACAGCTTCCATAATGAGATTGTTTCCTTTATTATTCTTTTTTTCTTTTAAATTTTATTTTGTGAGGGGGCCTTGCAAGGGCAGATATGGTGAATATGAAGGGACGAGGAAATGAATGGGATCAAGATGCATGATGAGAAGACACACACACAAACAAAAAATAAAGTTAAAAAAATGGAAAATGAAAATGAGCAGAGAATGCTCAAAAGATGAAACACAGATGGCTGAAAAATATTTTTAAAGTGTTTGGTATCTTTAGCCATCAGGGGAATGCAAATCAAAACTGCTTTGAGAGTTCATCTTAATTCTGTCAGAATGGCTAAGAAAAAAAGAGGATGGCAAGTGCCGTAGTAATGTGGGGAAAGGGAAACATTTCTGCACTGCAAACTGGTGCAGCCATTATGAAAATCAGTGCGCCTTTGCTTCAAACAGCTAGCAATAGCTCTACAACAGGAGCCAGTTATATTATTCTTGGGCGTATATCCAGAGTGTATTCTACTGCAGAAATACTTTCTCATCCATGTTCAATGCTGCTGTATTCACAAGAGTCAGGAAATGGAAGCAGCCTAGATATTCACCAATGGATGGATTAATAATAAATGTTTGGTACATTTACACAGTGGAGCCGGGCAGTGCTGGCACACACCTTTAATCCCAGCATTCAGGAGGCAGAGGCAGGTGGATCTTTGTGAGTTCGAGGCCAGCCTGGACTACAAAGTGAGTTCCAGGAAAGGCGCAAAGCTACAAAGAGAAACCCTGTCTTGGAAAAAAAAAACAACAACAACAAAAAAAACATTTACACAGTGGAATTTTTTTCCACTGCCTGGCATGGAATATTATTTAGATGTTGAGAAAAAAAAAACTACTAAAATTCACAGGTAAATAGAGTTAGAAATCGTTATTCTGAGTGAAGTAATCCAGATCAAAAAAGATAATGTGTTCTCTTATATAAGGCTGTTAGCTTTGAATCTTTAGATTTTTTCATTTGGAATATCCATAGAGGTCAGGAAATTATTAAGGGTCCAGGTAGGGGGACCCTTTCCAAGGAAGGGAGATACAACACAGTGATATAAAGAGGAACAGAGAAATGATGGAACAGAAAGGATTAGATTGGATGGAGAGATGAAAAGGGAAAATGTAGGTGAGAGTATGGGGAAAGATAGCTAACAATAAAGCCCTTCTGATGAAAGTCATATGAGATACTCCTACTGCAGGTATCCTAGAACATAAACATACAGAACCACATTTCCTTAGGGTTACTCTGTACCTGGACAGCAATGCCCCTACTAGACACCTTCAGCTAACAAATAGAAGCCCAGTGCCAAGAATGGGTGGCTTCTATTTTAATGAATGGCCAGTGAGGTTCCACAGACCCCCAAATATTATAGACTATTGCCTTTTCTCCTGGTTACCTCCAGAACTTGAAGGGAAGACTCTGCTGCCGAAGACATCACATACTTGAGACACAGGACATAGAGAAATCAAGCTGGAACTGACCTTGAAGCTTCATCCTTACTGGCTAGCTTCACGGTACTGGAAGGTGCTATGTATACTATCAGAAGAGAAAACAATTATAAATTTATCCAGCTACAGACCTTGTGAGGTATGATAACTGGCAACATCTACCCACCGGGACAATAGCAGTGAGCGTGTCATGGGAGTAACCAACTGTTTTTCTGACTGGATTTAAGGCCTACCACACAATATGGAACCCATACCTGGCATCATTATTAAGCTAGATGGGTCATTGGCCCTAGTGGGAAACCTATTTCTATTACTCTGCTAAAGGAACATAGAATTAAACCGACTCCTAATCACTTATTGTTACAGCCACAGATTAGTGCATCTCTCCAACCCCATCAGAAAAGCTTCTTTTTGCAGTAATAATGACTAACACAGAGACCCACAACTAGTCAAGGTGCAGAGAATAAGAAACTGTGGAGTACTCAACCCTAAACAGGACATGTGTATCACACTGCCTCTCCCAAGGCTTCAGGAAGAAGGGGCAGAAAGAAAGCCAGAGGTGGTGGATGACTTTAGCAGTGTTTTCCAGACACAAAAGGACACCGGGACTTATGTACTCACAGTGATTGTGAGAACACACACAAGATCTGCCTAAATTCAGACTAGATTAACATCCTAGAATCAAAGGGAGAGGTAGTCACAAAGTTCTGCTCCTGGCTGGGGAGCTATTAGTAACTGATAGCTGCTAGGAAGAGTCGGTTTCTTCAAGGGGGGAGGCTCCTGGTGAATAAACGTGCTCCAGTGAACGGTCACACAGCCAAGGTTATAGGGTAGCACTTAACTGAACTGGATGAGTTTTTTTCTTTTTTTTTTTGAGACAGTGTTTCTCTGTGTAGTTTTGGTGCCTGTCCTGGATCTTGCTCTGTAGACCAGGATGGCCTCTGACTCACAGAGATCTGCCTGGCTATGCCTCCTGAGTGCTGGGATTAAAGGCGTGTGCCACTGCTGCCCAGCCTGGATGGATTTCAAAACAAACCAGGACACAAAGCTCAGTGGGCATGTAATGCAGAGTGGATCTGGGAGGAGACTGAGAGGACAGGCCCTCAAGCTGTCTTTAGACTAAAGTTAAGTGACCAAGACAAAATACTTAAATAAAAAGATGAATATTCATTCACCTTGATAATGCCCAGCATAGTATCCAATTATCATTTACAGGTACAGTGGTTCAGATAGAAATTTAAAATGGATTTTGGAAAGCTTCGAGTATCTTCCCAAAATTTATTTTAAAGTATATTTTTATTAGTTCTTTGACAATTTCATACACTATATTTTGAACCTATTCACCTGTCCCTCAGCTGCTTGGCCCATGTCAGCAGGCCAAGCCTTCGATTTTCAGAATCATCTCTTCGAGGGGCCCAGGACAGGGTTAAGCCAGAGATTATACTCATTGTCTAGTCTTTCCTTCGACAGAGCATGAGGAAGTGATATGGAAGTGACATGAGCTGATCCTGGTACAGTCTTGAAAAATAAGTTAACTCATTCTATTTCAGTATTTATATTTTCCTATTCTTCAGAAAGAATCAACATGAAATGAATCATATAAGTTAGAATGAGGCATCTGGGTAATTCTGCATCCATAAATGATGCTTTAACAAGCTCTGTTCAGTTGTGTACCTTACTCAAAGGATGTGCATGAAGCTCTATGGAGATGATGGGCTAACACAGGCCAGGACTGTGTTCAGTCTGTGGCCCACAGGGTGCACTCAATAATATTTCAGCAAATTTATTGAACTTTTATTTGCAGACATTTGAAAATCCTCTTCCAGTCAAAAAGTTGGGGAACAGAGCAGTTACACAGTCTTAATTATATCGTTCTTTGCAGTATCTGAAAAGACGGTCAAGAAAAGAGTGTTATCACTCCTTGAAATATGGAAAAATAAACACTAAGTCTTTTTCCATGCATTTGGCCTCTCAGATAGTTTAGAAACATGGACAAACACAGTTGGCTTTGCTGCCTACTCCAACCCAAGTTTAAATACTTCATTAGGCAGATTTTTAGTTTCCTAAGTAACTGATTATGATCAGAATCTAAATAAAAGATACCAAGCCAGTTGAGGAAACGTCATGAACTTCCTTTCCTAGCAACTCATTAACCACAAATGGAGGAACAGGTGGATTTAAACACTTCCTCTTTACCAAAATAAAGGGGAACTGTTGTGTGGGCTGATTTTAAATCTGACCCAGTAAAAGACAACCCCCACACAACATTGTTGATGTTGTCCAGCCACTGTCATTCACTTTGCAACTGATTTTACACCTTTTTCAGTGGGAGCCTTTATCACAGTGTCCATTAGCCTCACCCCAGAGAGTGTCATTTAGCTTCTTTTCACGGGTGGGAAAGGAGCTGTACTTGTGTCTTCTTAACCTTTTACAAGTTAATATTTATATTATTCTCATTTATTTACCGCTACAGTTTTGACATTGTTTTTGTTTTTCCTCAAAGTAAAAGGCACTCTTTGGAAATGGACCTTACTACTTGGTTGATAAGTTGCCTCTGGATATGATTTTTCTGGAAAGTGAAAACCAGGTTGTCATTACCATGTTTCATGGATAATTTATAGACTCCATAATGCACAGGCAGATCTTTTATTGAACATTCTCACTGAGCTGTGCTAACATCATCATTGAAATTAAATTTGTGTTAAATTTTAAAGCCGATAGGTATGTGTTACTAGTAGACACAGGCACTCTTCACAGAGTGTTTGCATCTTGCACACTGGGATTCTTTCAAACAATAGACCTCTTCCCAGAAACCACTGTAAACAGAACTCAAGCAGCCATGCAAATGCAGTTCCTGTGACAGTGTGACATGTGCAGAAACACACATTAAGAGCACTCAGTCATCCGATAGAGATGAGTTTCTGACATGCCTAGCAGTCCTGGAGAAACGGGGGACAGCAGAAGAGGGAAGAGCAGGGCACGGAATGCTCCAGACACTACTTTTATGGAGGGAGTGGGCAAACAAACAAAACGCACCTCTCTGTCAGAAACCACGAGGAAGAGCGTAAGATGAGCAAAGGGCGAGCGTGCTGGAGGTGGGCACTGGCGAGAAGGCACAGAACAAAGGACTCTCCAGGGAGACTGGGAACTGGAGAAGGAAGACACGTGAGCGAATGTGACTGGACTTGTTCCCGCATTCCCCCGAAGCCTGTGCTGTAAAATCAGGAGTAAAGAGCGTGTGGCAATCTGTACACACAAGCACCTGCGACTTGACTCTCTATACAGATATGCTGGATTTATTCACAGGGAGCTCATGAAATTAAGGTAAAAGCCACACAGAAGCCTTTACAGGCCAAACTGTTGGACACGCGCGTTTCATGTGAGAAAGGAAGGGAGGCTTGGGGCGGAGGAAGTAGTCTCTTGCTGCCTTGTGACTATCACTTACTCATCGTAGAAACCACAGTGCAGACACGAGCCGAGACCGAGACAAGGTACAAGAAAGTGACACCATTGTCTTCACAGGTGAGTGGTGAGAATTCTTCATTGTTTTGGTTTGACTCTTCCCCTGTCTTCTCCATTTGGGACTGTTGTGTGCTCTGTCCGCTCCATCTTACAGCATCAGCTCACCCCGAGCTTGTTTATGTTCATGATCATATGGAAACCAAATGACAATCTGTAAGGAGGTTTTTAAAATTTCTAAAATATCATCACAGTTGGAGGAAAAAAATACCCTATCTTGATCAGAGTTTTAACTTCTTCAGAACTCTCCCGGGTGATTTTCCTTAGTGTGTAAAGCAATATAAAATTTCATTTATGGTCCCTTTTTTTTTTTAACTTCAGGGGTTTGATTTGCATCACATTCTATTTCTTTATGGCATAGTTTGTTGAAATGTGTCCATGCTCATTTAAGAATTATCTTCTCTCACCATTTGGCTTTAAAAATATTTTAAGGAGAAAAAAAAAGATAGTTTAAGGGATTTGCCTTAGTTCAGAAATTTGAGCTAAAAGCTCCTAATGAGCATTTTAGTTAACCCTCATGCATAGATGTTAATGGAATACAATCCTCTAAAATAGTATTTATTTGGTTTTTTTTATTTAAAAAAAAATAAAGATACCAACTTACTGGCTCAAAATTAAACATCCAGTGTTTTAAATTGGCAACTTAGTTAATAAGGCTTCTTCTATTTCTCTCTTGATCTAAACTTTTCGGTCTAATCTGATAAATTTTCCAGATCTTAACTAAAAAGCGCCCCCCCCTTAGAGGGAAACAGCTGCTGTTACTGGATGCCAACATTACAAGAAGTTTGTCTCCTGTGGACAGTACCCCTCAATGGCTCTCTGCACCCAGCTTCTGCATTGTAAAATACAAGAGTTTACACCAAACGAGGTGCAAACATTGGGCCGTGCCCACTGCGCTGGATGGGTTGGTGGTGGGTTTCAGTTGTGTATTTCAGACTCACATTATTGTAGAATTGCTGGACATGTGTAAAGAACTTGGCAGGAAGCCCCAAGGGTCTTTGAGTTCCAAATGTCTTTTATTGAAATGTGAGAGCTCAGTTAGGCCCTTGTTGTTAAAGAAATTTTAAAGTTGCCTTTGCAATTGACCATCTGTGGTGGAATCATGGCCAAGACGTAGAATTTTGTAAAGATCCCAGTGGAGAAGACTATCATGCTGAGAACAGAACCATAGAAGGTGTAAAGGCCAAGATCCGGAATAAGGAAGGCATTCCTCCCAATCAGCAAAAGCTCTTGTAACCAGATGGAAGATGGTGGGACTTTGTCTGACTACAACATTCAAAAACAGTCCACCCTTCATCTTGTGTTGAGACTTCTGGCCATGTTAAGACATGGAGGAAGTCTCACACCACTCCCAAGAAGAGCAAGCATAAGAGAAAGCAGGTTAAGCTGATTGTCATGAAGTACTAGAATGTGATAAAAGTGGTGAGATCAGCCACCTATGTCGAGAGCTGAATGCTGGGCTGGAGTTGCCACAGCCACCACTTTGACAGACATTCCTGGGGCAAGTGCTGTCTCACTGGCTGCTTCAGCAAGCCAGGAGGCTGGGCAGAAAAAGATAGAGACTGGAAAAAAAAAACCACAAAATTATTAATGCTCTGATTTGTAAGTTTCCTACCCTTTAAAATGATTCCAAAAGTGCCCTCCCCTTTTCATATGATGAAACCTTTATTAAGATGTTTAATGTAGCAGTTTAATATTAACTTCTTTCTGCCTGATAGTGGACTTTGGATTTCTGTTGTCTTTCTGGCATACAGATGAAATACATTAGACTATATTTTATCTGTATTCTTTTAGTCAAAGTAAGACACCCACCTATTCAAGTTGAAATGATTTTACCATAATTCACATTCTATGAATAATCACATTAAAACTACCACTGTCTTGACTTGACTTACAATTAGCTGAAAATATCAGTATCATGTAAAGTGAAAATAGCTATAAACCTAATAGAACGGAAGTACACAAGATAGAGTGCTTCTAAAAATTCTATTAACCATATGAAATATTGTTTTCTAACAATATTTAGCAAATAAGTTAGCAAATGCTAAGAATTTAACCTTACATTGGATAGAAATCCATGTAAGTTTGTAACTGGAAACTTTACCCAGGGCCTCTATTTCTCAGTTATGTGCTGAGGAAATGTGCATGTTATTTTCCAAATATCTATCTATTCAATCAGGAACTTTACATGAATTCCCTTAGAGGGTTAAGAAAGTAGATAAACTTTTTTTTTACTTTCTGTTCTCTTCAGGGAGTAAATGCCATTTTCCCTATGAGAAATATTTACAGCAGCATGGGATCAGAAAGTTCAGAAATGAAGCCACCAAGAAAAACAAGCCCAGCACAATGCCAGAGGTCTCAGGCTCTGTCCAAATCAGGTTCAGTCAAATCACAGCCCAATAACCTGAGCGATGTTTTCGTTTGTTTGGTTGGTTTGTTGGGGCAAAGTCTCTCCACATAGTCCTGACTTTTCTAGAACTTACATACATCATGCTGGCCTAGAACTCAGAGAGATCTGTCCACCTCTGCTTACTGAGGGTTGAGATTAAAAATTTGTCTGCCCAGTTGTGTAGCTTCATCTGCTTAAGGGGCCCCCTGGCAGCAGGATCCAGTGCCCTCAAAGGTCAAAAGGCATCAGATCCTCTGGAGCTGAAGTTGTGAGTCACACAGTGTAGCTGAGGGTAACTGAACCTGGGTCCTCTGCACGAGCAATATGTTAGACCCAGAGACATCTGCCACGTTTAGCCTTGGCTGAGGTTACAGTGTGGCTTGCTTCTGCCTGTCCGAGCAGTCTGTCCCACGAAAGGACATCTACTAGAACATTGTGATGTGGCTGTCAATCCATTTGTCACAGCATTTCTGTCTATTCATAGTCTACTAATTTTCAGTAACTGATATGTATGATGTTGAAATGTATGCTAATGAAATTATCTGGACTTTTCCTCTAAATTGCTGTTTTTTTCCCAATTCTCTCTTCTCTAAAGTTCCTGGAAGATAAGGACCACCTTTGCCTTTGTGACTTAGGAAACTTTACCTGTGAAACCACAGCAATAACTAATTACCAAGCCAGTATTCATTTCTCCTTTTTTTTTTTTTTTTAAATTTGATTGGTTAACTTACCCAGTTCTGAAGTTTTCCCTTGAAGGGTTGCACTGTAGTGTTAGCTGTGGCTTTTGAACTATGTTACTGCTAATACGACCCTTCTGTTGGCGACATCTTTTTTTGCTGCCATTTGTCATTTTGTTTTTGAGCTTAATCATATTTTTTAACTTTTCTTTTTATATTTCAACTTTTTATTTCTGTGTGCTGGCAGTAGGATGATTTCTCAAATGACATGATCTTGAGGACCTGAGCCCAGTGAAATCGTCTAAATTTGGGTCGCGTCCTTCACTATGGGAAAGAACTCTGTGGTTCCCCCTCCTTCCCGTTCATGTCTTCTGAGCTCACACTGTATGGGGGCTTCTGTTTAAATTAATTTGCTCTTTGACAGTTTCATCCATGTGTGTAATAGCTTGAAGTCACACTCAGCCCACCTCTTTCCCACCAAGCCCCTTCCTGGGAACAAGCCTCCTCTCTCCTGTGTCTTTGTCTCACTTTGTCCTTGTTCTGTGACTCACTGACCTTCATCTGGGTGTCCCACGGACAAGGATGTGGAGCTAGCTACTGGAAGCCGATACTACACCACAGAAGACAATGACTGCCCCTACAGCAACCGTGAACTCCAGGAGGGGCTGGGCTCCTTGAGTTCCATTGGATGGGGGCTTTTAGGTAATGTTTTCAATATAACTCTATAGGTAAAGAAACTGAAGCCAGAAAGAGAGAAGAGCCCAAGGTCACTGAGGTCATACGTGGCAGGGGTGACTCCCCCCACTGTCTCCTGCTCTCTCACAACTGGCCTTGCACCCTGGTGCATCTGGCCAGACACATCCTACCTTTGACCTTGGAATGGGAGTATGGCCACAGAGATGAACTGCTTAGTGAAGAGAAGCCAAAAAAAAAAAAAAAAGAAAAAAGAAAGAAAGAAAAGAAAAAAGAAAAAGAAAAGGTCTAGATTGGGCACTAAAACTTCTCTTAGTGTTTATTGTGAAATTTCTTTCAATATTTTGTTGGTCATAGACATATTTGCTTGGAATTCCTTATTTTTGTGCAAAGCCTTATTAAATATATTAAATATTTTAGAGTCAGTAATTGTTTCCAACTGCATTTATCTTGACCTGTTTTTTAATGTTGCAAAAATACACATATCTACCTAAAAGTGCAAGCCTACAGGTTGGGAGTTTTGCACCTGTAGAACAAGAAGCTTTCCCTTGGAAGGGAATGAAATTATACAAGAGCTGAGGAATGTGATGTGCAAGCACGGCTTCTTCAATGTCACAGCCGTTGAAAGAATGTTCTAGAGGAAAAGATAGGCTTTTGTCAGACATGCTTTTATCTCCAAATCTCATACTGAATAATATGTCTTCAGAGAAATACAGACAGCTAGAGAATTTAACAGTATCCTTTGAGTGAGCTACAATATAAAGTAGCATAACCACATACTAACAATAAAGCAATCCCATTGTGCAGAATGAACAAGGTTTTCACTGATATTTATGGACATCTGACTGAAAAAAGTTACATATTTAATTTTTAAGGCAATGGACATATGTGTCTCACATATATACAATGTATAGAAGGAGAAATAAATTGCTTTTTGTGATATAGAGACTGATATATGATAACCAAATTTTTTTATATATGATAAAAAGCTCTTCAATGCAAAACTATGACTAGGAATAACAGTTTCACAGTGAGGACTCATTTGCTTTTTTGAAAATTAAAAAATATATATATTAAGGAATTATAACAAATTTGTTTTCATTTTCTAGTAAAAATTATAATTCCATAATGTATATTTCTAAAAGATCTTTATTACTTTACATTTTTAATTTGTGTGTGTGTGTGTGTGTGTGTGTGTGTGTGTGTGTGTGTGTGTATGTGTGTGTGTACCTAATGCGTGTGTGCCATGGTACATATGTGGAAGTTAGAACTGGTCATTATGGAGTCAGTTCCCTCCTTTCACATTTATGACTGTTCTGGAAATAGAACACTCAGGTGACCAGGCTTAGAAGGCAAGCAAGCTTACTTACTGGCTTTGGGGGGAATTATCTCTCTCTCCATCTTGCTTCTGAGGCAAGGTCTCTCTTGTTATTTCTGCCACTGTGTTACATTCACTAAGCTTTAGGCCCATTCTCCTGTCTCTGCCCGCACCTGACCACAGCAGTGCTGGAGCTGGGATTACAGACATGGCTGCCACATCTGAGTTTTTTACATGGGTTCCATGTATTAAACCCAGGTTATCAGGTCTACACAGCAGTGCTGGAGCTGGGATTATAGACATGGCTGCCACATGTGAGTTTTTAACATGGGTTCCATGTGTTAAACCCAGGTCATCAGGTCTACACAGCAGTGCTGGAGCTGGGATTACAGACATGGCCGCCACATCTGAGTTTTTTACATGGGTTCATGTATTAAACCCAGGTCATCAGGGTCTACACAGCACATGCATTTACCCACTGAGCCATTTCTCCAGCCCAGAAAATAAACTGTTTTAATTCGCCACTTTATTTTTTATAACAGTTCTTTATTGATTCTTTATCATGCACCCCAATTCTGCTCACCTCCCAGTCCCTCTCTATCCACCCCTTACCCCTGAAACCTCCCCATCAAAAGACCTCCCCCCCCTCAAAAGGTTAATTAAAAACAAAACAAAAAACAAACAAATAAAAAACTACCTCACTTCTGCATCTTTCCAAAAGCTCTTCATTTATCCTTGTGGCATTGGGAGCTGCACTGTATGATGCAGTATAATCTTTTGTCCAATCAGCCCCACCCACAAAATTCCGATTGGTCTAGTTCAAGGCCTCTGGCACACCATCATCACTGGACCCTCACTGTAATTCACCACTTTAAATGAACAATTTTCATGTACCTACTATAATCATTGCATCAGAATGTGGTAGCCAATGATTATTCTTGTCTACAATATGAGAGATTAAGGTAATTATTAATACTAGTAACAGTTTAGTATTATACTAAGAATTTTATCTATATAACTCTTACTGTCCAAATCTATATCAATGCCTATATTTTTAAGTAGACTTTGAAATTCAAGGAACCTCTATAAACTAGCCCAAAGACACAGAGTACCTGAGTAGAAGTCAATTTCAAGTGAAAACGTCTGTCAGTTGCTCAGTCATTATATCACCGCATGCATTCCACAGCTATATTTGTTGAATGTAAGTCACTAAAATTTTATAAGTTTCCTGTAGTCTCACTTTGAATGTTTACAAGATGGCACAGCCATCCCCTAGGGGAACAGTGAAAAGTCATGGAGCCAGCATAGCTGTTTGAGAATGTTCCAGCAAAGCTAAGCCACATGCTATGATCATTGATCTGATGCCCTTTACTATCAGTTTGAATCTCTGTGTGTTACACTCTTGGAGGGGGGTTGCTATTAGCATGATGATTTATCCATGTCTTTTCTGAGGAAATTGTTTCTGAAGAAGTCCTGAACATACTACCCTCTGCTTTCAGGGACTTAACCTTTGTTGACTCTACTTAGGGGTCTTCTCTGTGCCTTGGAGGTTGTTATCTGTCCCTATGTAAACTCAAGAACAAAATAGTTAGAACCCTATGAATTCAGAAGAGGCTGAGAAGGTTCAGCAGGACAGAAGAACTGGCAGCAGATCAGAGCACGGAACTCCTTTACAGTATACTTACAATTTCATAGAAACATACCCTACAAGATAGACGCCCACGTATACAGTAAGCCTCTAAAAAGAATTCAGCGATAAGAGAATGACTAGGATAACATAACAGCATGTGGAGGTGGTGTAAAAATGACATAGGAATATAAGAAGAGTAAGATATTAGAATTTGTCATTCCTAAAAAGATTGATTTACATCAGGTTGCTGTGATGTTATCTAATTTAGAAACAAAATAGTTCTTTTATTTAATAAATTCTTATAAGATTATAAATATGCTGGGCAGTGGTGGCGCACACCTTTAATCCCAGCACTTGGGAGGCAGAGCCAGGCAGATCTCTGTGAGTTCAAGGCCAACCTGGGCTAATGAGTGAGTTCCAGGAAAAGCACCAAAACTACACAGAGAAACCGTGTCTCGAAAGAAGAAGAAGAAGAAGAAGAAGAAGAAGAAGAAGAAGAAGAAGAAGAAGAAGAAGAAGAAGAAGAAGAAGAAGAAGAAGAAGAATTGAACAACAGTTCCTAAGCCTGAGAAAGTTCTCAGGCTTAGTCTAATTTGCAAATAATATGATTGACAATTAATATTATTGACAGTTAATAATATACTGCCCAAAGCATGGTGATTTACCTGGACTGACTCAGATATCATCTAAAACATTTTGAAACCACAAACTGCTGCCAGCCTGAGAACAGGCTGCTATATTATGCTTGCTTAAGCTGAAGTGATCTGTAGAATTCTAGGAATAGAGATATGGGGCTAATAATAAAATATATTCTATCTGGACTTAACCAATAACCCTGGGCATACTAGAGAAGTATGCCCAGGACAAAATGATGTGATCTGTGTCTCTTGAGAAATCATGTGTCTATGTGTCTGACTCAACCTTTCCCTCACCTGATCCCTACATCCTTTCTGGAACCAGTTCACTGCTGGGGCTGGCCCCTGGGCACCAACAATCGATGATTTCAAGCTTTGTTGGGGCGAACAGTTTCAGGGAAAGAGGGAGAGGGGATGAACGAGAGTAACTGGCAGAAAATGACTAAAATTCATTATATATGCACACATACATGAAACTATCAGAGGATTAAAAATTGAAAAAAAAAATGCTACCTCCCTTTTTTCTCTTTCCAGAATTGCACCATGCCAAACTACAAACTGATTTATTTTAATATGAGGGGGAGAGCAGAAATTATTCGTTATATATTTGCTTACTTGGACATAAAGTACGAAGATCACAGAATAGAACAAGCTGACTGGCCCAAAATCAAACCAAGTAAGTAGCATAAATCGTGCAGATTACACAGGAAGAACGTATTTCGGGGGTGTTCATCCTTCCTCCGGGAAATGCAAGCCTGACCCTACAGAGCTTCACATTGAGAAATAGCAGTTCAGGTAAACTAAACAGATGCACACTGTTCTCTGGGTCTGCTCTGTTTATCTTCTTTCTCAATATATGACTCAGAACTATAGAGCCAGCTGGGCAACTGACCTACCTCAGTTTGAATATTACCTCTGCCAAGAGTAGGGCCTGCTAATTTACATAAGCTTCCCCCACATCGTTTCCTTGTTTATAAAATGAGACTGTAGTTAACACCCATGGCTCAGGCGGCCAGGTGAGCATGTCACATTTTCAGTCCCATGTTCCCTTTCAGGCTCCGCAGGCCACCTCTTGTTTACACCTAGGCTTCAGATGAAGCTGTCAGTTCATATCCATTTTATTTGGAACTCTGTCTTGCTCACAGCACCTCAGGGCCTTGAACAGCAGCACTTGGTTTACTCACTGGGTCAGGAATCAAAGCTGTGCTTTCTCCCCCGGGTGAAAGCAGTTGACTTTGTACTCACCCGTGTATGTACAGAGGCTTGGTCCCAGTGCCTGTCTGAGGTACACGACTTGCCATCTACACTTCATCTTTTGTCTTCTTACCAAAATAATTGTGTGCCCAAACCGAAAATATTGTGTGGGAAGTTGTAGTCAATGCACATGATGAAGCACCTCATGATCACTGAAATAATGGTGGTCCATTGATTCAGAAAGGTTGCAAAGTGAGAAAAGGGACTTTGTATAATAACATCACACGTTATTCTTTTTAATATTATTTATGTTAGTTTTTCATGGCTGTGACAGAAATGGGGGAGGAACGTAGAGAAGGAAGGATGTATCCAGAGGTTTCAGGGTAGTCTGCTCACTGCTTGAGGCCTCAGGAAAGAAACACCACGGTGGGAAAGGGTGTGATGGATCAGAGCTGCTCATCATGTGAGAGCTGGGAGCAGGGAGAAAGCAAGGGGGAGGTTACAACTGAGATGGAAGGCAAGTCCCCAGCAGCCCACTTCCCCCAGCAAGGTCCTACCTCCCACAGGTTCAAGTTCCCAGCAGCCCACTTCCCCCAGCAAGGCCCGACTTCCCACGGGTCCAGGTCCCCAGCAGCCCACTTCCCCCAGCAAGGCCCGACTTCCCACGGGTCCAGGTCCCCAGCAGCCCACTTCCCCCAGCAAGGCCCTACCTCCCACAGGTTCAAGTTCCCAGCAGCCCACTTCCCCCAGCAAGGTCCGACCTCCCACGGGTCCAAGTCCCCAGCAGCCCACTTCCCCCAGCAAGGTCCTACCTTCCACACGTCCACCTTATGGCATGCATCCAAAACTCATATTAGTCAGTAGAATAAACTGTTCACTGGATCAGCGACTCATGATCTGATGTCTGAGAAAAGACCCTCATAGATAGGTGTTGAGTGCTAACGTAGGCATCTCTCAAGCTAATCAAGGCATGAGTGCTAACGTAGGCATCTCTCAAGCTAATCAAGGCATGAGTGCTAATGTAGGCATCTCTCAAGCTAATCAAGGTGTGAATACCAATGCAGGCATCTCTCAATCTAATCAAGTTGACAAGGTTAACTAACACAAAATGGAAAATTAATTAGAATACTACAATCACTGTAACTACCTGGTAAAAATATTCTTGTTTAAGTTTTATGAATTTTCTATAATAAGAAGTATATTGCTTTCTCACAGAAGTAAAATGTTCAACAAAAAAAGTGGAAGTTACTAATATAGCATTAATGTTATCTGCTGTGACTGTTTTATGTTTGTTCAAAGTGCCTCCATCTTTTGTTATATAATCCACAATGCTCTTCATCAAAATAAGACTAGGATAAAACTTCCTTAGCTCACCAGGCAGTGGTGACGCATGTCTTTAATCCCAGCTCTCAGGAGGCAGAGCCAGGAGGATCTCTGTGAGTTCGAGGCCAGCCTGGACTACCAAGTGAGTTCCAGGAAAGGCGAAAAGCTGCACAGAGAAACTCTGTCTTGAGAAAACAAAACAAAAAACCAAAAAAAAAACACTTCCTTAGCTCATGTATAAGTCAAACTCTATAACTGTTGGAATATGTTCTAAAGTAGCTCATGTGATCTATTTTGAGACTATAAAATTAATGAAGCTTGAAAACACAGGTTTTTATAAAAGTCAAGTATGTGGGTGAAGAGATGGTTCACCGGTCAAGAGGAGTTGCTGCCCTTGCAGGACTGGGGTTCTGTTTCCAGCAACCACATAGTTTCCATTTGTAACTTCAGTTCCAAGGAATCTGATTCCCTCTTCTGGCCTCCAAAGGCACTGCACACACATGGCGCACTATTGGTGAAATTATTAAGGCCACTCCACATAGTTAAAAAGGAGGTTTATTTTGTGGGGTAACTTACAAGTGAAGGGGTAGTTTACAGGGTCTGGGAAAGGTGTGGCGCAGTCCGGCGGTGTTCTCTGAAGAACTCTGCTCGGTCTACCTCCAGCGTCCATGGTCCAGGACATCCATCTTGATCTCAGGTCTTCAGAGTCCTCTCTTGGCTCTGCCTTGTAGGCATGACAGTTACCGAAGCCTCAATGGGGTTTGGAACTTCCAGATCAAAGCTGGAACGGCTACCCACTACAGCGCACTTACATACATGCAGGCAAGACACTCATAACACAAAAACTAAAATTAAGTAAGCCTTTTAAAGGGCAGTAAATTTATAAATCAATCTAACATGAGACAATGAGGGAATGTGATGTGTAGTATCCCTGCAAACATTTTGTTATTGTTTGTTTTTCAATTGAGACGTTGTCCAAACTCGGTATCTGAAATGATCTGGAACTCATGATCCACCTACCTCACAAGTGCTAAGGTTACAGGCATGAGCCAGTAAGAACATCCAGTTTATACAGTGCTGGGGATCAAACCCAGAGGCTTGTGTGGGGCCTGGTACATATTAGCAGGCACTCTACCAAATGAGCTCCATGCTCCCTGCATACACATGATTTTTACAACCAGTTCTTTAACTGATTTTATATTCAGTTTTCAAATCTACCAAACTGTGAAGACTGCACTAGAGAATGTGGAATTGTCTCTTTTAAGAAGAATGTTTTGAGGGGCTTAGATAGAGCTCCAACAGTATAGTGCTTTTTGTTTTTAAATAATTCTTTATTGATTCTTTGGGAATTTCACATCATGCACCCCAATCCCTGCATACCTGCCCCTCATCCCTGCAGCACACTTCCCAAAAGAACCACCTCCAAGAAATTAATTCAAAACAAAACAAACAAAAAGCCATCTCGATCCTCCGTCTTTCCAACACCTCTTCATCCATCTGAGTGGCATCGGGAGCTGAGGTCTGTCACACAGAATACCCTTTTGTACAATCAGCCCCACCCAAAAAGTGTTCATTGCAAGGAGTCTTAGGTCTGGTTCAAGGTGTCTGGCACAGTGTCATCACTAGACCCTCACCAAAACCCCCCTAGATACCCTGCTGTTGCCCCACTCATGGAGATCCTGTGGTTGAAATCCGAGGCCCCTGCTGAGCCGGCTCTGCCCTTCTTCACAGGCCCTAGGATAGATAGATAGCCCTGCCCCTTGATGGACTCCGCAGCAGGAGAGCTGGTCCCCAACACACACACACACACACACATACACACACAGGAGAGCCAGCCTTTGCACTGGGGAAAGATGGCCCAGCTCCTCACCATTGGCTTGGGAGAGCTGGTTCAGTCCCTCACCTGAGGGAGGCAGTCCCAGTGGCCTGGACTGATCAGTTCAGCTGCCATCCAGACCCACATCCTGGGCCTTGGGTTGGCCCAATGTCTTAGTTAGGGTTTCTTTTTCTTTTTCTTTCTTTCTTTTATTAAAAAGAATATTCTTTTTTTTTTTAGGTTTATTTATTTATTATGCATACAGTGTTCTGCTGGTGTGTATGCCTGTCCGGCCAAAAGAGGGCACCAGATTTCATTATAGATGGTTGTAAGCCACCATGTGGTTGCTGGGAATTGAACTCAGGACCTCTGGAAGAGCAGCCAGTGCTCTTAACCTCTGAGCCATCTCTTCAGCCCTAGGGTTTCTATTGCTGTGACAAAAACATTATGACCAAAAAGGGGAGGAAAGGGTTTATTCGGCTTACACTTCATCACTTCCGTTCATCACTGAAGAAAGTCAGGACAGGAACTTAAACAGAGCAGAATCCTGGAGTCAGAAGCTGATGCAAAGGCCGTGGAGGGGAGCTGCGTACTGGCTTGCTTCCCCTGACTTGCTCAGCCCACCTTCTTATAGAAATCAGGACCACCAGCCCAGGAATGGTACCACCCACCATGGGCTGGGCCGTCCCCCATTGATCACTACATGATAAAATGCCTTACAGCTGATCTCAAGGAGGAATTTCCTCAGCTGAGTTTCCTTCCTCTGATGACTCTATAGCTTGTGTCAAGTTAACACACAAAACCACCCAGTACACCCACCACCCTAACATCTACCCCATCTCTGACCTGCTGGAGTGCGTGGAGGGACTGGTCCTGTGGAACGATAACCACACGATCTCCATGACTTAGGGTAACAGTATAGTGCTTCTTAAAGTAAGCATATGTTTAAGTTTATAAATATATATGTGTATATATACTCTATACTTAAGACTTTCATGACTTTATAGGATACCTTGTTTCAACTATTCTGACTTCTCTCACCATTCTTGGTTCAGCTCTGAAGTTGACTCTACATTTGGTCTGTTTTAGCTCTTCCATTTGGCAAAATCCCTGTTTTGGAGGTGGGAGGACTTACCCTTCACCAGAGTCTCGCAATAGCAAGATATTTGGCTAAAAACACAGGTAATATACATATTTGTAGTTAAGGCTTTGAATAACTGAAAAAAAAATGATGTTTCTTTGATAATTGCTTAATAACTGTATTATTTACTATAGTGCAATTAGCAATGGCTCCAGAGATTAGAACATTATAAACGTACCATCTACATGAGTAGAACTTTCTCCAAATGCTTCAGACAGCTGTTTTATTTTGCCATTTTATGTTTTTATATACAGGGTCTTACTACATATTCTTGGTTTGCCTACTATTTGCTATATAACCCACAGTGGCTTAAACCCTTGATCCTTCTGTGACAGCCTAACCCATGCTTAGATGAAAGGCATGTGCTGTCACAGCAGGCCACATAATCTCACTTTATATAGTATCCTCCCCTTCCTGTATCACACCATATTGCCATCATGCTGTTTCTAGAATCTAGCTGGAAAATTGGATTGGCATGTCATGCTAGTGTTGAGTATTATGATTTAGACAAGAAAAAAAAACAGAAATACATACAGCACATGAAGACTGGAACTTGTTGCACTATTGGAGTCATGATTAAGTGCCTTTCATTCTGATCATGCTCAGAAGAATAGGAAGGTGGCATCCTCCCCTCCACTGGCTGTCATCTGAAGTCTCCTTAGCTGGTGCACCATGAGTGAGTGAAGGTAACAGAGATGGCCCCTGCCTTCCTCTCATCATGCTCCACTTCCTGCTTCCTCTGTGGAGTCCTGCAAAGGTTTTCTAGTGAGATCTGAGCTTGCTTTATCCAGAAGAGCTGCATTAGAGGATGGCTTGACCATGTGCATGGTTTCCAGGTGATTGGAAAGGGTCTGCACTTGGCTGTACTGAGGGGAGGTCTTTTGCTCCACCCCTTGGCATTCCTATAAATAGCCTTTTAGAAAAGACAGAAGGGGCTGGTGGTTTAGGATCCAGGCCCTCCCAAGGCTATCCTGTGTTTCCATGTTTCTGTCCATTCTATCCTTCTATCTAAATCTCTTATCCCTCACTCCTCAAGAGTACCCTAGGGGAAAATGTGGGAGCGGGTTTCCCACATTCCCCTCTCCTTCTTTTCCCACTTTAATTAATTAATTTATTTATTAGTAAAAAAGCAACTTTGGGTTTCTTAAAGCCTTTTTGTTTGTAATTAACATGCTAGAATCACTATTTTCCACTTCCACCCTTTACACACACACACACACACACACACACACACACACACACACACACACACTGCTACCACCTACCACCTACCACCTTATGATCCAAGCATGTTGAGCACCCCAGTGACCCATAATGATTAGGTTCCCATTTTAGGAACAAAGATGTTTATTTTAAACACATAAACAGGACTGGAGACTTAGCTCAGCATTAAAAGAGCACTTGTTGCTCTTGCAGAGGACCTGGTTTTGGTTCCCACATCCACAAGGTGGCTCACAACTATCTGTAACTCCAGTTCCAGGGGATAATGACTTCTGACCTCTGTGGGCACCAGGCTCACACATGGTAACATACTTACATGAGGGCAAAGGAAATGGAATATGTCTATGGAAGTTGGGCTCACAAGAGAAAGGGGTATTTGAATCAAGCCTCAGAGGATACCTCGGGTCCCCGGTCCTCCACTCATAAGTGTATCAAGGTTTCCTCAGGGCTTCGGAGCACATATACTCTTCTTTGTTTCCAGACTTGATTCAGGAGGCTGGAGGAGGACCCTGCAAAGTTTGCATTATTAAAAATTCCCCAATGGGTTGAGTTGACAGAGGGACCTCCCTTAGACTCACCAGATGTACAGCGTTACGAGTAGAGAGAAAAGGGCACAAGACAAACAAAACCAAAACCTTCATATTTGCAGGTTAGAGAAGGAGGGTTACTTAGCAAAATACACTGGACAGGATTAGAAAATCCAGGGTATGGACTTCCCTAACAATTGTAGGTCGTTACCCAAAAAGGCAGCACACAGAGGCTTGACTGTAGGACAATTCTTCGGGTGATCGTTTGTTCTTGACTGGCCTGACTGCAGGACATACATTAAAGGATTTTAAAATCGTCCAGATGGCCCCAAAAAGAGGAGTGTGGAGAATCTGAGAATGCATACAGAACCTTTGTAGGGCTGTGCCACAGGGAAGGGCAAGAGAGCCCAATGGGCAGACTTTGTTATTCTCAGAGCACTGAGACACCCACTACCACTCCAGTCTTCTCCCTCTCCATTCTACATAAAGACCTTCCTCAGTTTGCAACACCCCTTACCCTATCAGGTTTACCAGCCTAGGAGTCAGCAATACAAGAAGTCTCTCTCTTTCAATAAGCGCTGAAGCTCCCCTGGGAGGACTCACAGTAGGAGTCAGGCCCTCCTGGAATGAAAAAGAATAGTGGGTTTGGGGTGTGGTGTCTGGTAATTTGATGCCGGAAGTTCAGGAGGAAAAACAGCTCCAAATATTTGCAAAGGGGCCTGAGAGATGTCTGCTGTTTAGAAGGAGGGATGTCCACAGAGGCATTAACTGCTAAAGCCTGGAACATAGAAGTCAAACCAGGGCTGGGGGAGAGGGAGGGACCTGTGACAAGCTTTTTCAGGTTAGTGAGGAAAGTCAATCCATGGAAATCACACGTGAAGTTACAAGTACATGAAGCAAGCAAGTTCCTTCACCCTGAACAGCTTCACTAAAGCTTTGTTTATATTAGCCATGCATCATCAGCATTAAGTTCCGTAGGCTTAGTAATTTAATACAGTTACACAAAAGCAGTCAGTTTTACAAGACTTTCATACTGAATCATTTCAAATTGACTAGTGAAGAAAAGTCGAGAAAGATCAATGACTTAGAAGAAAAATATTTAGAAATTATTGGAAAAAAATTAACAAATGAGTGAAAAAATTAAAGGACAAAAACTCACCAGCCACTGTTTACTCTTTTTTCTACTGAAAGCTTTGAAAATCCTGTAAACTGGAGCTGAAGAGATGGCTCAGCAATTAAGAGCACTGGCTACTCTTCCGGAAAATCCAGGCTGGCTTCCCAGCACCCATAAAGGCAGCTCACAACTGTCTGTAGTACCTCTAGTTCCAGGGGAGCCGATGCCCTCTTCTGAACTGCTGGCTTATGGTGCACACAAGCAGGCAAAACACTCATGCAAATAAAAATTAAAATTCAAAAAATTATCTTAAGAATCTTGAAAGGTTTTGTGAGGTTTGTTTTTTTTTTGTTGTTTTGTTTTTTGTTTGTTTGTTTTTCTTTTTTTTTTTCATTTTTATTCCCAATTTCTTTTTTGTTAAACGCCGGAGGCTCTTGAGCCTTGGTTTGCCTCCGGAAAGAAATGTTTCAATTTGAAGGGAATGTTGCTTCTAGAAAGAACATGCCTTGCAACAAACAGAAACAATGTATCTCAGCCTCAAACGGTTTAAGCACCATGGGCATCCGACCATCAAGAGATGGAGCTCCCAGGATTCAGCTACAGTTGCCATCATTACCTCCTAGCTAGCTTCGTGGTGAGATGCTTGTAAGTCAGTACCGTGACTCAGCCTTGCCTGGCTCTCAGTTCATGGCATTTTGTTGTCCCAGGTTTAAGACATCCTATCATTTTTAAAATTGAAACTTTATGGTGAAAACTGGGGCCAGATTTTCCCCAGACTTTTTAAAGCTATACAAAGAAGAATAGGGCATAAACTTCTAGAGTTTTCTCCCAGCTCTACCACCAACCTGTCTTCTGCCTCACAACTGTTTTACACTGTTTTGATTTTCTAAAGTCTGAATATGTTGCCTAGTTGACACATTAATAGTGAATTAAATTGAGCATGTTGGTAGATACAAAATGGCTTCTTTCTATCCCATAGATTTGGCTGGCAAGACAGAGTTGGAGCAATGTCAAGCTGATGCGGTTGTGGACACACTGGACGACTTCATGTCACTTTTTCCATGGGCAGAGAAAAATCAAGATGTAAAAGTAATGTGATAAACTTACTATCATAACTATGGTTAACTTTAGATTACCCCCCAGACATTGCATTACAGGGCTGTAAAAAGTTATTTTTAATCTATGTAATATGTACTTTAGAAAATGAAGTTATACTAAACTATAAGGCCAGGTCAATGCTTTCCTGCCATACTTTGTGCTAACCCTGCCTCAAATACTTTTTAAAAGTGTCTGTGCATGTGAACCTTTGAGAATGGATGTGTGCCATGTACATGCAGGATCCTGCAGAGGCCAGAAGAGGGTTTGGATTCCCTGGAATCAGGGTTCCAGATGGTTTTGAGCCATCACGTGGGTGCTGGGAACCAAACCTAGGTCCTCTGCAGGAGCGGTAAGTGCTTTTACCCACAGAGTCATCCCTCAAACCCCAACAGACCCAGTTGATAAGGCTTTCTGCCCTTTTCTGGGGACAAACACACCTCCCTTTCTTCCATTCTCCCTTTTCTTCTTTCTTTTTAAAAGTATATTTTGGGTGTGCATGTGTACTGTGTACACAGCCACGCAAGGCATAGCATGGCTGTGGAGTCAGAGGACAGCCCACAGGAGTCAGTTGTCTCCTGCTACCATGTAGGTCCCTGGGATTGAACTCACATCAGCATGTCTGGGGGCAAGCATTTTTACCTACTGAACCATCTCACCAAGGAGCCCTCTCTCTCTCTCTCACTCTCTCTCTCTATGTCCCTTAGAAATAGTGCCCCATTATGTAGACTACAGAATATGTACTATCATATTTCTGTAGCATAGACAAATATAGCTTGATTTAGCAGTTTTAGACAATTCTTATAGACTTCTTATGGAATCTGTAAGAATTTTTCTCATTCTTCCTCTTTTTATTAGGCAGGTTTTTTTTTTTTTTTTTTTTTTTTTGTAGGCGAGGCTAGCATCTAACTCATCCTCTATGTAGCTGAGGATGACCCCCAACTCCTGGTCCTCCCAGTGCTGGAATTACAGAGGAGCACCACCACATCTAGCTCAGAATTTCTCTCTTCCTGCATCATCTTCTCTGCCTCTTTTTCCCTAAGCTCTCAACACGGTGATATCTAGATCATTGAGCTAAATTAGTATTCCATGATTATGTAGCTTTGCATACGCAAATACAAACTGTACATGGCAGTGTATTTCAGTAATGCTTCCTTTCTTATTTTTTCTCCTCAAAATCAGTAACTGTGTTTTTACTTTTGCCTAATTCATTTTACTTTTTTTTCCCCTAGAAACTTTCCACACTGGTAGAATTTCCCTCCAAGTCAGTGACATCAGCCTGCCTTCTCTTTCCAGTGTTTCTGGGTGCAGTTGCCTCTCTGACTTTTTGCTGAGCTCTCTGGCCTGGAGGCCTCCCCTGCCCTGCAGCTCTGGGAATTTCTACAGAGCCATTGTCTCAGGCTTTCCTGCCACCACTATCCCAGCCAGGCCTTTCTTCTGGGGTTGGCTCTTGTTTCCAGGGTGATGCCCACTTTCTTGTATACATCATTGTATTTTTTTTTTTAAGCATGTCCTCTGGGACTTAAAAGATTACAATCACTAAGAGAAGGTACAATGGTAACAGGACTTCTCCACCGCGTGTCACTGCTTCTGCCAGGCTTGCTTTCCCCACACACGGCACACACTTACCATCCTGGGGCTTTGATTAACATTCTGAATGTTTCTTTTGGCCCTTTCCTGGTTCAGTCTCTTGTTTCGTGCTCTCGTGTTTGTGAAACAGTCCAATAGCGTTACTGATCACAGGAAGTCAAAAGTTTGATGCTTTATATCTTGGTTTGCAACTTTTTCAATTTAATTTTCACCTGGTTCCATAGTTGGTTTGATGTCTTGGTTAGTTTTTCGTTTGGGGTTTGTCAACCTGACACAAGTTAGAATCATCTGAGAGGAAGGAACCACAGTTAAGAAAAGGCCTTCATGCCGGGCGGTGGTGGCGCACGCCTTTAATCCCAGCACTTGGGAGGCAGAGGCAGACAGATCTCTGTAAGTTCGAGGTCAGCCTGGTCTCCAAAGTGAGTTCCAGGAAAGGTGCAAAGCTACACAGAGAAACCCTGTCTCAAAAAAAAAAAAAAAAAAAAAAAAAAAAAAAAAAAAAAAAGGCCTTCATAAGATTGGATTGTAGGCAATGCTGTGGGTATTTTCTTAACTAGTGACTGATGGGGAGGGCCGGACTGGTTGTGGGTGGGGCTATCCCTGAGTAGGTGGTCCTGGGTTCTACATGAAATCAGGCTGAGGAAGCCATAGTGGTAAGCTAGTAAGCAGAAGTCCTCCACGATTTCAGTTTCTGCTTCTGTTCCTGCTATCAAATTCCTGCCTTGACTTCCTGTCCTGACTTCCCTCAGTGACAGAGGGTAACCTGAGAGTTGTAAACTGAGGTAAGCCCTGTCCTCCCTACGTTGTTTTTGGTCATAGTGTTTACCACAGCAACAGAACCCCTAAGAGAGTTGGGTAAGGAAGTCTATGTTGCAAGCAATGTTTCACTAGCATATGAAGACACTCCAGGCTCTTAGCTGGTGACAAGTTTAAGCCAATCTAATTATTTTATTTATGTGTTTGTTTATTTTTGTCACACAGAACCCTTGTGGTTGAGAGGCCGAAATCTTTTCTACCTCCCATTTTTTGCTTTTGTGCTTTCAGAAGGACATCCTCAACCCGAGTTCTACATTTTCACCTTTTACATTTTATATCTTTTACTTCTTGACAATTTCATACAAGTATGCAACGTATCTTGACCATGTCTGCTGCCTCCCACTCCACTGGACACCGCCTGACACAACTCTAGAGTCGTTTAGTGTAGTGCTTTGTTTTACTCATGAGGGGATTTCATTTTTATTTTATGGATATGATGTCGTCTGACCACCCAGTGCTCGTCTGTGCAAAGCTGCTTTACTTCCAGGTTGCTAAAGTCCCTGTCAGGGGTTAGGTCATCCTCTGAAATCCATGGCAGGCTGCAGGACTCTGGTGCCTGTGAAGCTGTACAGGTGCAGATAGTTTATTGATTTTGAATGTTGCTTTCCTATTTTGGGTTCTTCCAATGTCTCCGGCTTCCAATGTCTGCTGTTGTGATAGGAAGGTTGCCCAGAGAAAACTGTGATCTAGAGACAGTGGGAAGGGATACATGGTGGCTTCAGATTTTACTGCTCAGTGTGAATACACTCATCCCATTCTTTTATTCTTAATACATTTTTCACGGTATCCTCTGTCCAGGAAGCTGTTTTAGCCGCTCTAGCCTCCTGTAGAGAAGGATAGGATCTTGCCCATTAGCCCGAAATGAAGGAGAAAGCTCTTGAAACTGTTCCCCACCAGTTCTCGGTTCCACCAGTCTCAGCTTCCTGCCTCCTCATTTCCATGCCGTGGCTTGACTAAACATAGGGTCAGTTTCTGGCTTTCCTGTGCTAGTTCACCCACTCGCCTTTACAGCTTCAAACTCTTTTGCTCTCATCCTCTCTCCTCTTTTCTACCTCTATACAGGTTTCATCTTGTAAAGCACGTACACTATTATTGAACTGGGATGGAAATAAGCTTATGTATAAATGTCACATCCATCACCTTTATCCAATTTCTTCATCCCAGCCCTCTAGTTGCTTCCTTTGGGATACTTGCCACAATCTCATCTTAAAAATGCAGTTGTCACATGACTACTTCAACAGGAAGTGTCACCATGACAATAACGGACTTTAACCAACTGACGCAGTGCCCTCTAGTGGCAAAAACTGTTCATAGAATTATTGCCAGGACCCTGCATTATCAGATCCAACCGCCAGGGGCCGCTCTCGTCCCCTTGACGTTATCTCCAGTGGAGAGGTAGGCATTTATTTCCTTGTCATGCTATCGCTATCTTTTGAGATGAAGAAGCAGCCAGAGTAGTTTGGAAGGTGCTCAGAGTCAGACAAGTGTAAGAATGTGACCTGAGACCACCTGGTAAAGCTCCAGAACCCATGCCCTGATCACACAGAGCGTGACTGCTACAGCAGGAGTAAGTCTGTGGTACTGCCACAGGGCTCATTTCCCAGGTGAGAACAGAAAGCCTCAAGTGTTTAACCACCTTGGGTTCAGGTGCTTAGATGCAAAGTACTGCGAAAGGAATGCAAACCGTGGTCACTCTCAGACTGCACGGTCTTAACTCTTGGATGTGATGTCACAGTACCAGCAGCTGCCCTCAACACTAGGTACAAATAAGAATTATAAATTAAAGGGACAGCCCAAGTTTAAAAAGCCACAGCCCAGAACAACCAATGTGACTCTCAGAATTTTACTCAAACACCTGCATTCTAAATACTATTTACATAGTTAGGCTCTTGATTGGAGATATTTGGACATATTTTTATATAAATAAGGCATATTAGGGATATTAGCAGAAGGGAGGGAGAGAGAGAGAGAGAGAGAGAGAGAGAGAGAGAGAGAGAGAGAGAGAGAGAGAGAGAAGTATTGAAAAGCTCAGTTTTGATGACATAAAGGTAAAAAGACTTTTTCACATAACCTATTTAGACTCTGGACTTTGGTGATGGTTTGAATCAGATTGCCTTCTTACCACCACCAATTCCCTTTTCACAGTTCAAACTCTTTGAGTGTGAAGTACAGATATACGGGACTCTCCTTCGAAGCATGGTGAGAGCATTCGGTGACAGTGTATATAGATATGACAAGGTGGAAAGTGTTTACTAAACATCAGCTATTATTAAGAAGTTATTGTGTTAATTTGCCCTTATATTTGTCAGGCGTGACATCTATTTTACGTATCGTTATAAACACACAGACAAATACACCATGCTCCCCAATATAAAAAGAAAGTGTATAAAGATTTTTGTCCAGTGTGCCAAAGACCTCACTGCTAGGCAGTCTGCCATCATCTTGGCTTGCCTTTTTCTATTTTCTGTCTTTGTGTGGCTAAGGATCCATGACTTAGGACACATCCCAGAGGAGAGTGTCTCTGGCCATTGGTGATAAAATACTCCAGCTTTGTAACACAGTGGTCAATGCTCTTACATATCTCAAACCGGGTACAGAAGACACAGAAACTCAGGTTCAGGAACAAATTATGCAAAAGAAAATGTTGCTGAGGCACTGATAATAGCTACGGACTACGCCATCAACAAAAAGTTTCCGTTTTTTGTTTGGGCAGCAGGGTCCGTTGCTGCCACCTTGTGGTGAAGTGGTAATTTCAAACTCGAAATAACTGCCGTGAGATGGTAGGTAGTAAAAACGTTCTTTTTGGGGAGAGGGGGTCTTGCCATGCAGCCCAGACTGGCCTTGCAGCCCTCCAGCCAGCCCCTGCCTCCGCAGTGCTGAGATTACAGGTGTGGGCCGCCACACAAGTATCACTGAAAATATTGTCATTATATGTGCTTGAAGAAATGCAAGAGATACAACAACTGCTAATATTTCTGTATTTGTGCTAAAAGCCCACTTCCAATTTTAAAGGATTAAATGAAACATTGTGTCTCTGAACATTCGTCACTAGGACTGCCCTTGAATTTATTACGAGTATTTATCATTTGGCTACCCAATGTGTCTACATTTGTTTCCTTGCCTGAAAAGCAGTGTGGAGGGGGGAGATACACAGAACAGAGGTCATCCTTATGTTCCGATTTCAGCACCAAATGGCATGGATAGTGAGAAACCACCTTTACCATCCTTCTCAAGCACAAAACCTAGCTCACAACCTTCCTGAAGGAAGACCAGAAATTTCTAATTCCTTCAAGTCCAAGAGTGGCCACCTAGAATGAACAGGAAACTTATGGGGCTAGACACACACACACACACACACACACACACACACACACACACACACACACACACAAACACTCACCTAAAAACAAAGGATGCAATTGTTAAATTTCTTCTGTTATTTGAAAATGAACCTTAAGTGATTATGCTACATGTAGTAATTTAAATTTTATTAGTTGGAAATAATCCAACAAATTTGGGTATTATAAATTTTTATTTGAACCCAACAGTGTGGATGTGACCATTAGAAAGTACACATGGCCTTCGCAAAGCTTTCTGGCAGCCAGATCCTCCTGCCCATGAAGCTCCCTACTGTATGTACTTGTCTAGAAGATCAAAAGATCAAAGCTTTGACTAATTAATGTTCATATCGGACACAAACTAACCCCGAAAGTGTTATTTCTAGAGCAGCTCTTTGTTGTTGTTAATGTTCATTTTATGACCGAGTCTTGCTATGTTGCCCAGAACTTACAGTCCTCAGCCTCCCAGGAAGATTAGTTCACAGGCGGTACCACCAGGTCCAGAAAGCACACACACTTCTCAGCAAGAAAGAGGCTATGAATAAATTACTTGGTCTTCAGAATCAATAAAACAAATATATAATAAAGGGGATATCTGTTTTAGAGGTGCCAAGCATTTCTCTTCGTTTCTCAGGATAGTATTTGCGTGTAGCACTTCATTTATCAAAAAGACAGGGTTGGCGTGTCCTATATATGATGTGCATGGCTCACAATGCTCATGCTAAGGCGCCATGGGTGTTGTGACTCATCATGGCCTATTGTACCCATTAGCTGTGATAATGAGGGGAGAAACACAAAGTGAGTGTCCTGCCTCATCGAATGCAGCACACCTACTTTCCTTCAGTTAAGATACATAGCTGTAAGGGCTGCAGGGTGTTTACCCACCAACCCCACAGCTCCCCAGAGTTTGCTTGAGTGTGAGCAGCAGGAAATATTACATAGAAGGATTTAGATTGTGGAGATAAACAGATAGAAAATAAAGGATAGCCTCAAGAGGGCCTGGAACCTTTTCCAATGGGCCCTGACTGTCTCTGCCCCTGGGTATTTATAGAGATGTCAAAGGGTGGAGCAAAAGACCTCCTCCCCCAGCACAGCCAAGTGCAGACCATTTCAGATACCTGCACTCAGGCCCGTGGCCCTAATCATCCTCTATGCGGACCTGCTGGGTAAAGCCACGGGGAACCCGAAAACGGGCTCCCACAAAGGGCCCTGTGTTAAAAGTGGACTTCAGAAATTTCAAAATACAATTATCTTTCATTACAATAAACCAAGATGAAAACTCACGGGGCTTTCTCATAAAACCAAAATCTGATTTACCATGACTTGCCTATGTACCTCTTGGAGTATTTACTAAAGGCCGCCACATCAACACCCCACAGAGACACTTGCTCATCATGTTTTATGGTGGCACTGTTCACAGTAGACAAATGATAGAAACTACCTGTCTAAAATATTGGAATGAATGCAGAAAATGTGGTGTGTGTGTGTGTGTGTGTGTGTGTGTGTGTGTGTGTGTGTGTGTGTGTACAGATAAATATATGTATATAAAATGTTCGTATGAAATTTTCCTGTGAAACATAATACCACAGGCAATGAAAATACATAATGAAACTGGTGGCAAAAATATTTTAAAAACGAGTAATAGGATTGGTGAGATTGCTGCTATGCAGATTGCTCAGATTGCTGCTATGCTGGAGGACCTGGGTTTGATCCTTGGGACTCACATGGTAGAAAGAGGGAACTGACTCCTGAAAGTTGTCTTCTGGTTTCCACACAGGCTCTGTGGCACATGTATGCACACAACCACACACACACACACACACACACACACACACACACACACAGTGTAATTTTAAACCTTGAGTAATAAATGACTGAGTCAGGCGGCCTGGGTCTCTATCAGATCATAACTACGAAGAAACAAATGCATAGCTATTTTCATTCCTTCTACCTTGCTGCTCCAATTATACTTGTTTTTCTCACCATTCACAAAGATGTCTGCTCTCTCCTAGGAGCGGACGTTCAAGGAGTTGCTCACATGTCATGCACCTCTTCTTCTGAAAGATTTGGACACATACTTAGGGGACAAGGAGTGGTTTATTGGTAATTATGTGAGTACGTTTTTATCATTAAAAATATCAGCAATTATATTTAGATAAGATGATAAACTAAAAACTTACTGAGCAAAACGTTCTTCTAGCCAGGCATTGCCGGGGCCCAGTCTCAGCTCGGAGTCAGGTCCTGAGATGGGGAAGGGTCGTCGGTGCAAGGAAAACTTCTGACCAAGTGGCCCAGAACAGAGTTTTTCTTACCAGGGTTACCTGGACAACTTTATTATTGGCTTCTATTTTTTACATTAAGAAATACATCACAAACTAAGGAATACGTTGTGATCATTATGAAAGTCCCTGTTGTTCCCCTTTATGCTTTCCCAAATACGCTTTCCCATCCCCTGCATAGCCTTATTCTAGACACAGAGTTCAGCACTTTTGCAGGTTGAACTAAATATCGAGTCAGACACATCCTGCTCTCACAGCACTTACGTCAGCTGGCAGCTACTGAGGTTACAAAGTTAAAAAGTAACGGACATGGACACAATGCTTTAAGGACAATAATATTTGATCCCAAACAATTCTTTCATGTCTGCAAGATATGCTTTTATTACAGCTACCTTTTCTACAAGAGGGTCCCATGTCTCAATCTCTCTGTGAAAGGCAGACCTTGATAAAGCACTCTTTTCCCATCTCACTTCACCATACTTCTTCCACCAATATTAGCTCCTTTGGATAAAAAAGATGGATCTATCCATCTCACATTTTGCATTTTATTTTTTTTCTTTTGGCGTATCCGATCTTCTCCCAGATTTTCTGTTTTTTTTGTCGGGGGCTTTTTCTCTCCAGTTTTGGCTCTGTGTGTTCCTTCGTCTTTTTTTTTGTCTCTGTCTGTATGCCTTGCTTTCTTTTCTTTCCCTGTGTGTGATGGTTGGTTTTTGTTGTGTTTTTTTTTTTTTTGTATGTACCTGTTTCTGTTGAGTCAGAAAAGTTCCCAGGATTGGAAGTTGTAGTTAGTAACTCCAGATAAGAAATTTCAGAAGCATTAGCCCCCTGTTAAATTCTTAAGGGAAATATTTGAGAAAGAGCAGAATTTCCAGGGAAAATTACCGCTATTGCATGTGTGACTGACAAAGTAAAACTAAAAACAGCCCAAAGAATCACCAATATAACGAGAGAGAGAAAAACCTGCAACCTGCACAAATATCACAAATTCCTATGCTGTCCCGCTGTTCTGTGGACTACTGGTCCTTGCCAAGTGAGAGTCTGTTTCCACGGGTGCCTTGCCCAGGGGAAACCCACTATTCAGGTAGTCATATGCTGCTCCAAGACTAGGCTGCACAGCTCCTGACAAGGGATGATAGTGCGTACCTGGCATCCCAGCACATGGGAGGCTATATAGCAAGTTTAAGGCTAGCCTGGGCTACATAAGCCCTTGTCTCAAAAAGGAAAGAAGAAAGAATGGGGTGGCAGATAACTACAGTAGAGAGAAAAAAATATTAAACTTCTCTAAACTAATTTTGTATAGAGATCTAATCTGGAGTCATGAAGTACTTTATATAGTTATATTCAATAATTTTTAAAAGTTATCCTAAGAATCAAAAGGGAATAAATCTATATCGCATGCATCAGAGTAGATAAACACTACTTATTTCATTATTTTATGCACATGTGTGCACATGTGCACATTTGTGTGGGGATCTGTGTGTGTATGATGTGGGGGCCAGAGGTTGACTTCAGACATTGTTGTTGCTCAGACACTGTCCACCTTGTTGTCTGAGACAGGATCTTTTACTGGCCTGGAGCTCACCAGTCAGGAGAGGCCAGCTGGCCTGTGAGCCTCAGGGCTGTTCTTGTTTTGGCCTCCCCAGTGCTGGGATCACAAGCCTTCGACATCACATCCAGCTTTTGTACATGGATTCGAGGGCTCCATCTCGGTTCCTCACAGCGCTGGCATAGCAAACGCTTTACCAACTGAACTATCTCCCCAGCCCCTGAGTGAGAAGTACCTTTAACGCAAGGTACTGTAGTCTGACTCATGCTAGGAATCTCAGAAAGCAAGCCCACACATTGTTTTCAGTAGAACTATGTGGCTGCACTCCTGCTGAGCTCCTGGCCTGGCTCCACCAGTGACAGAGCTATTAGCGGTTCTGGGCACCATTGGTATCATCTTAATGATATTATGATTTGTACACTGGAGTGCAGTAATCGGAAATCACACTGATGTTACTAAGAAGCAGGATCTTTAGTGTAGGAGAGAAGGAGACAAAGATAATCCAGTCATCATGAGTATTCCTCATACCCAGATTCTGGTCTCCTAAATACTGAAAGGAACTGGGGATTTGTGGACAAATGACTTATTCTCGATTTGAGAAAAGAAATATTTAATGAGTACTTTTTCCTACTAGAAACAAATGAATTACCATTTGTAATTATTTGTATCAAAAGGATTCAGAAGGCAGCCTGAGAATGACTAGAGATGGAGCAATGCAGGTTTAAATATTCATTAACAGCAGCAAATTCAAACAAGTCAAAACAAACAGAGGAACTTATGATAACCTCTGCCATATCCAAACATATGACACAATCCCCAACCAAGCTCCTTGCTTGCTGTAGAAACAGAACCCATCATGAAAACTCCCAAGAACAGACACCAATGTAAGAGGCTTGTTTCCCACCTTTCCTATGAAGGCAGTACACGTTTCTCATCAGAAAAGCACCCTAGTCATAAATAAATAGAGGATTAGACTCAATACCATCACTTTCCAACCCCGAAGAAGCAATGGGCCTAGCCAGTGGCCACCAGAAGCCACCCATATCAGAGAGATGATGGCCAGATGTTACAGGTGGGCTTTTAGATCAGGAACATACTCCACCCAAAGCAAATCAACCCGACCTCAGAGCTGGGGTGGGTGGGGTTTCCCAGCCTTTTGGGCTACTGTGTATGAAAGATAAGAAAAAGGGTGCTGTCTGCGGCTTGGGTGGCTCTGAGTAGTCTACCTTGTCTCTACATCTCCTCAGCCTCCATGGCACTGCACAGCCCCTCACGTTCTCCCGCTTGCCTTTTCTAGACTCTCCCTTCCCTATTTTCTGGGTATTTCTAGGAACTGATTTTTTTTTTATTTCTATTAAAATCCCCTTGCCAACCACCTCCACCCTATTGTCTTTTCTTCACTGTGCTCTGAACTAGACACATCACACTCCCAGGTAAGTAATGGCTGCTAAGCTTGGCTTGTCTGGACGCTTGGCTTAAATGTATATCCCCTCTTAGAGGGGCCCCTGCCCGTGTTAGTCACTCCGATTCTCCTTCATCGCCTCTCACTCTGTGTCTGAGTGCTTTCTTCTAAAACAAAATCCCAGACTAGGGATGAGGTTTAGCAGTGTTTGAAGGCTCTGAATTTGACCCACAGCACTATAAACAAACAAACAAACAAATCTGCATTAGAGGAGAGCATTGAATCCCAGCTTGTTCTCTGCCATCCCCAACACCTAGATGTGGGTATGACACACAGTAGGTACTTAAATATTTCTTAGCTGAACTGTAAATCCTCTGAGCAGCAATTTCTCTTAGATGACTGCAAACTTGTGAAATACCATCAACCAGCTCTAGTAAATTATGGACACACAAGCAAGTTTAGTCCACATTTAAATTCCACTTTGTAGCTGGGCCTGGGGGAAACATGCCACAATACCAGGCAGCCTGGTCTCCAGAGGGAGTTCGGGTAAAACATGCTACAGTGTCAGACTGTCTCCCAACAACAAAAGTTAAAAAGTGAACAAAGCAAATTTCACTCTGCTAATGTGATTCTGGAACCCATGTACCGCTCCACAGACAGAGCTCAACAATGGAGAACCCTCAGATGACCGAGGCCTAAGGAAGGCTGTACCCTTCACCTTTGCCAACTTCAGTATTCCATTAAGGGCCAGATAGCCATGCAGTTACTTGTCTTGATGTGATGCAAAGATAATGGATCTTACCCAAATCTTTCCCTTGCAATTATAGACCCTGAAGGGATAACCCGTACACTATTTATTCCCTTATACCTTAAAACACAAAGAAACAAGGTAGACAACAGAATGGAACAACCACAGATCCCCAAGCAGGATTATTTGCAGGACTGGTGTGGAATTGTCAGTGGTGACATACAAAAAAAAAGAAAAAGAAAAGAAAAAGAAAAAGAGCACACTCTTCTCTATTACAAGAGTTAAAGTATGTACACTGGGCACGTACACACCTGGACTGAGCCTGCTTTGTCCTTGTAGGGACTTTGGGAGCAGGTGGAAATCCATGAGTTAGATCAGGTGAAAATGTATTGTCAGACTGGTGGAGATGGGACATGGCTTCCGAACGGTGTAGCACTGGACTGCATGCCGTGAGCCGCCTGTCTCAGGCACCTATACCTCGTCACAGACAGTACCCCTCGGTGTCCCCCGGGCACTGCATTGCTTGTCACTTTCTAATTTTATCATACACAGTCAGCTTTCATACTAACAGAGGGTTGTTTTGAAACTGGAAGGAAATGTTTCTTGAGGATATGAAGTTCACTTTTGGAGTGCGGATAGCTTTTTTTATATTCAATAGCAAGTCTTTGTTTTCTTTTAAGCAGGTCACCTGGGCAGACTTCTACTGGGATATCTGCAGCACCACACTTTTGGTCTTAAAACCTGACTTGTTGGACATCCACCCCAGGCTGGCGTCATTGCGGAAGAAAGTCCAAGCTCTCCCTGCCATTGCTGCCTGGGTGCAGAAGAGGCCACAGACCAAACTCTGATGCAGGCACAGCACCAGATGAGGGCGACATCTGCCTGCCAGATGATCCATACCCTTCTTAACTACCACGAAACTCTGTTGTATTCTGCTTGCTATGATTCTTTTTGTTGTTTCTGTAGGCATTTAGTTTACAGCATTATCTTTTTTTCAGGACTTTACATTTTTTATAATTGAAACAGTTCACAATACATATTGCTTTGCATTGACTATCAACATGCATGGATGCTTTAGTTAAAATACTAGTTTCCTGGCTAATGTGTCAATTACCACAGCATTTTAACTAAGAAATCATGTGAAATACAGATTTTGCAAGTAGATCTTCAATCAACAAATCGCTACACTAAAAAACAATGCCTATGATACTCAGTGGCTAACCATGTCACTGACCACCATTGTACATGTTATTCAGGTATACACCAAAGTGTTTGTTTCCCAAAAATACCCATTTGTCCAGCATATCATAAATGAGTACTAAAAAGAGGGAACTCATAAAGATCCAAGTACAACCAAGGAAAGTGATGTTGGAGCTAGCTTAATTCAAACCCAACAGAAGCAGAGTTACAGAAAAGCTGACTGTGAATTCAGCACTGTCACAATTTACGAGGCTGTAGACAAAGGGCTTCATCAGCTCACTGACAAAGAAAGGGGTGTGACAAAGAAAGTTAGGTGCCCAGAGACAAGGGACAGTGGCTTACAATAGACCTTCGCAGCAAAAACCAGAAATCAGTGGAATGAGAAGGCAATCCACAAACTGGGAGAAAGTGTGTGCACAACATTCACCTGGTAAATAACTGTTATGGAAAATATATAAAAAACTGCAAAAAGATAATAGTAAGGGAATAAACATCCTGATTAAAACTTCAGCAGAGTAGCTGACATTTAAGAAGGTATATAGGTGGCCACGAGCATGTGAAGGGGTGCCAACACAATGGCTTCAGGGAATTATAATAGCTGTGCAGACTGGAATGGTAAAGATCTCGGACATCAGACAAACACTGGAGAGGCAGTGGCGTAATGGGAACTAGGACTGATGGCCGAATGTAAAAGTTGGCACCATGAGACCTAGTTTCATAAAACAAAATGTCCTTTGACCACCAGGACCAGTAGTCTCACACCGTGGGGTTCACCCAAGTGAGCTGAAAGCATGTCCACATTGAGCCTGAACATGCGTGTTGGGTACTGCTTTACATACAGCTGTCAAAACTTCAAAACTCTTCAGCAGGAAATAGAGAAATAAACTTTGGTACATACAGATCAGGTATGGTTGCTCAGGGCCAAATGAAAGGAGCATATACAAAAAGGATCCAACTTCATATGATGATGGAAAAAGGACAACGAAGAGAATGAGAAGTTGCCCAGGTCAGTGGTGACATGGGCAGGACTGGTGGCAGATCTGGGGCAGTCAAGCTATTCTGTGGGATGCTGTCTGCAGTGACAGGCACATGTCCTCACACTTGTCAACTGACTCAGAATGCAGAACACCAAGTCCGCTGTAAAGCAAACCGTGGCTTATAGGAGACCAGATGTTGCTACCTGGGAGGCTGTAGATCTGGGGACAGGAGTATATCAAAATATCAGACTGCTCCTTAGTGTTACCATGAACACGAGACTTCTTTGAGGAAAAAAAAAATCCAAAATCTGTGTTAGTTAGCTTTTTAATCACTGCCAAACTGTGACACAAATGGCGTACAGGAAAAGATCTATGTGGCTCCATCTCATAGACTTCAGCCCAATGATTAGCTGGCTCCATTGGGTTGGATCTGTGGAGAAGCAAAATGTCACAGTGTGCAGTGTGTGGCAAAATGACTGCTAATCAAAGAGACACACATAATCCTCTGTGTGCCAGTGAGATGGCACCATGGGTAAAGGTACTTGAGGCCAGTCTGAAGACCTCAGGTCAATCCATGGCACCTACGTAAAGGAAGCAAAAGACTAAACGTCTACCTATGTGTCCTCTGACCTCCCCTCAGGCACTGTGGCATGTACACTCACACACAATAAATTTATTATTAAGTAAAATCCAATAATTTTTAATAAGAAATTTTTATTCATTTTTACATACCAACCACAGATCCTCCTCTCATCCCTCCTCCCATTGTCCTCCTAGCCTTCCACCCCACCTTACCCCCCCATCCCTTCCTCCAAAAAAGTAAGGCTTCCCCATGAGAAAGCCTGGTACATTTAGCTGAGACAGGTCCAAGCCCCTCCCTTCAGCATTAAGGCTGGGCAAAGTGTCTGACCATAGGTAATAGACTCCAAAAAGTCAGCTTTTGCACAAGGGATAGATCCTGATCCCACTGCCAGAGGCCCCTTAAAGAGACCAAAGCTACACAACTGTCTCACTTATGCAGACAGCCTAGTCCAGTGCCACGGAGGCTCCAAACTGTTGATTGGTTTGGTTGTCTCTGTAGGTTTCCCCATCATGATCTTGATGTCCCTTGTAGAATCCCTCTTCCCTCTTCAACCGGAGTCCTGGAGTTCAGCCTGGTGCTTGGCTGTGGACCTCTGCATCTGCTTCTATCAGTTACTGGATCAAGGTTCTCTTGGTCCAATCAGAGCTGGCAGATTCTGTCCAATAATTTTTTTCTTAAAAGTCTTCTAATTAGCACTATTTAAATAATCCTAGAGGACTGTTTTGTATTGTTTTGAGACAGGGTCTCATTCGGTATCTCAAGGGTGGTAGAATGCACTACCTGGCCAAGCTGCCTTTAGACTCAGTTCAACTCTCCCTCCTGTTTCTTTGCTGTCGTGCCTCAATTCCTATTTTAAACTATATATTGTTGGAAGAGAGAGAGAGAGAAAGAGGAGAGTATAGGGAGAAAGGAAATACACGTCCAGTTAGGTGCGCTCTTATTTAGCCAGGTCTGTTCTTTTCTTAAAACTGTTCTGATTTGCAGGGGGTAAGGGAGTAGGGAGGCAAAACCCTTGCATGTTACTATACGCTATACACAAACACAAAGTGCATTTCCTAAGGACTTTGATCTTTTGGATAAAATTTTGTTATTGGTGCTGCTAATAAAAAAGAATCTCATTGCACAGATAGACAGCATGTGATTTAAACTATCTACAGAAAAAAATCTTTAAAGAAATATTCAAACAATGCTTTGAAGGAAGATGATAATGCCTATTTTATATATATATATATATAGGCATTTCCCTCCACATACCATTCCATTAAAAATAGTCTTCAATGGAATATAATTTAGGGGAAGTAATGAATACAAACTTAGCAAAAATAGAAACTCAAAATAAGATAGTCTTACATATTCTATGATTCATACATAGTTCAAGTGTAAAAATGTAACCACAGCATGTTCTATAGGGCAATATTAAACATAATTTTAAATGTCAGGAAGCCACTGAGGGTGGATCTCTCCTTTATGGGCTGCTTAAGTGTTGTGCAAATGGAAATTCAATCTTCTGATCCATCCATACCTTCACTCTATAACTCCTGTTGGACAAAGTTACCTGTCCAAGACACACAAGATACACTTACTATCCATGTGTAACTTGTACTAATAAAATAAAATAAAATCTACTTCATGCTGGGCATTGGTGGCACATGCCTTTAATCCCAGCACTCTAGAGGCAGAGGCAGATGGATCCCTGAGGTCAAAGCCAGCCTGGTCTACAGAGTGAGTTTCAGGACAGCCAGGGCTACACAGAGAAATCCTGTCTAGAAAAACCAAAAACAAGCCAATAAAATGCCTACCTCAGTTGGTGATGATATTAACACCTTGTGGCTTTTGTATGCTTTCTGTAAATAATGGGCTGTGATATTTAATGGCACCAGCCCAATGAAGGAACATCTAAGGATTCATTCTAAGTAACAAATCCCAATTTATTGCCAAGCAATATCTTCAACACAAGATGATCCCATTTCTGCTCAATATTATACACTTCTATGGGGAAGGATTGAAAGAAGGTTAGAAACTATTACAACGGTTGTGAAATACAACAATGATCACAAATATTTTTATTAAGCCCGAGACATAATAACAGAATATTACAGGGAGACTCCAACCACATTTCATTAGAAGAAATATGAATATAACACAACAAAAGAGCCTACTATGGGAGATACATTCATACAGCAAAGTTAAGAGATTCACCGTGGCTTTAAGAGGTATGTTTCCCAACAACTTGCTAAGTGACCTGGGTACTGTGATCAGGAGGTAGCATGGACACCTGCAGATTCCTGGTAGCCCTGTAGTGCTGATATTTCATATATATTCATACAGCATCAAAACTATATCTACTAAGTCAGGAGTTCCGAGTCTTGGGTACCTAAAAAAAAGCACTGCAAGATCCTATCAACCTTCTAACAACTTACCTAGCACCTTAGCAGTCAGGACGTCTTGAAAAGTAAGCTCCAATAATTAAGAAATCTCTCATTTATAAATAAGTTTATTTATAATGATATTTACATAATAAAAACAAAACACATAAAACTCACAAGTTGTACAAAGAATCTGGTGTATAATAAAAACAGCAATATAGACTGACAGGCAAAATTTAAAGGAATAGTTAATAAAGACTGAAATATCATATAGACAATTTTACTTCTAAATTTCATTTTGTCACCCACACTGATCCGGAATTGAACAATGGCTTCTCTTCAGTGGTCTTGTATTGGAAATCCTGGGAACTGGTAAATTATATTTTGGTACGAATTTATAATGACCTATGTCTACACAGTACCTAGTGCTGCCTTAGCGTGAAGTCACACGGAGTCTCCTTTGAAGTGAAGGAACTTGAAGTTAACCTGCTCTGCTGGCCTAGAAGAGCATCCGCAGCACTTGCCGGTCTGTGTATGGTAGCAGGAAGTATGTGGAGAACTGCAGCCGAAGTGACTGGGCAACAGCAAGAGAAGCAAAAGCGGGAGAGGAAAGAGATGGCAGCACACACCAGAGCAGGCGGTTAGTGAGCACACACGTGCAGAAAGAAAAGGAGAGAAGGAATGAGCCACAGCGCAGGAGAAAGGCTTTAGTTACTACCCACTGGAAAACAACTTAGTGCCTAGCCAAACAAATGAGTCTAACACAAGTAGGAAGAGGACCTGGGGATGTTAGTAGATGGAATGCCACCTTTCAATTCAGGCTAAGTTCTTATTGACATTGGTGAACATCTGCTTCAAATAGCAATAAAATGAAGGCTAAACAACCTATACTGCTTCATTCTTTAACATAATAAAAACTTCAAATGAGACAAGCAAAAACAAGACATAAGCATTGTCAAATAAGGCACATGTAAATCTACACACATTATCCAGTGAAAGACAATATATATATATATTTGGAGGTAGAAATAATTACAAAAATACTGACATTTCTAAAGCATTAGCATATTTGTTACAAACAATCACCAACTAATAATCCCCATTCAGAAAACTGCTTTGTAAAATGATGATTCAACATCTTCAGGATGTGAATATCTGGAGAATCCAGTTAGTGGCAAAAAGCTGTCCATACTATGAGAAATGCAACATGAAATTATAAAAAGTTACAAAT